AGAGCAGGGACGTGTGTCTCTGCTGAGAACTACAGATCACCTGACGCCACCGTTCACCCTCACTGTTTTTAAGTGTGCTTTCTGAGTGTTAGCTTGTTCCAGTGATCTACAGATGGCATGGTTTTTGAGGGTTATTGAATGACCTCTCAGGTGACCTTTGACCTTTTACTCCTATTTAATTAGACTGTAAAAATCATTAGTGGAAAAAGCACTCAGAACTTGTAGTAAAGGTAAAAGTAGCAATACCACTGATCAGAAATACTCTGTTACAAGTAAAGTTTACAAGCTGCAAGGAGTTTATAATCAGTTAAGAAACATTCATTCGTTTTTTGTAACTGGTTATCCTGTTGGGGGTCGCGGGGGGGCTGAAGCTTATCCCAGCTGACATTGGGCAAGAGGCGGGGTACACCCTGGACAGGTCGCCAGACTATCACAGGGCTGACACACCGGAGTAACTGGAGAAAACCCATGCTGACACTTGAAGAACACAGAAGGGCTCCCCCACCCCGGGGTTCGAGCACCCCGGGTTTAAACAAGGAACCCTCTTGCTGCAAGGCAACACTGCTAACCACTGTGCCACAGTGCTGCCGCTCCATATGACCTAGATAAGCAAAAGAGACCACTGGCGACCAACTATCTCTATCTAATGACTCTTAGTGTTTGTCCCCGGGTCCGGTTCCCTGTGAAATCAGAAGAAACTGAAAGAGCCTTTATGTTTACACTTTCCCAGGCAAAGTTTGGGAGTTGTACGTTAGCCGGACAAAAGGAAGCAGGACGAGATGAATTTTATTTTTGATGTTATATTTCGTGGTAAAGGCTGATACTGAGGCAGGAAAGAGCAGGGGCAAAAACACGGGTCAACCTTGGGTGTTGACTTAATGTTGTAAAGACATAACATAACTGGAGAATGTTGATAACTTTAGCTTCTCAACAAGTAGCAAGTACTAGAAGTTCAAAATATTATTACCAACCAGCAACCAAGTGTGTTCGTCATAGGCTTACATGTAACATACGTGTGCGAATTTCACTAAAACAGTTTCATCAGTTTGTTTCATCATCGTCACATTACAGCTCATAATCTTTTTTAAGATTATTTTTATGGGCTTTTTGCCTTTATTGACAGGACAGAGAGTGAAATGGGGAGACAGAGAGTGGGGACTGACATGCAGCAAAGGGCCGCAAGCCGGATTCGAACCTGCGGCCGTTGCAGCGAGGCGATGCCTCTGTACATGGGGTGCTGGCACTATCCACTATGCTACCGACACCCCTACAGCTCATAATCTTACAACGCCACAAAGAGAGCCATTACCTCATTGCTATCTGTCCTGCAAACACCCGTGCTTTATAAAGAAAAACAGCATTTAAAATAAGTTGCAGCTTTTTATTTTACTCCATTCCAAGTCAAATGAACATGCTTACCAGATCAAGATCTTTACAACTGCTTTTGTCCACAGTGGCCACCAAAAACAACATAAAATAAAAGCAACTTGTGGCTGCTTTAAATAAAAATACAAAAGTAATGAGCATCAAAATATAAAGTTTACTTTATTTACTGCTTGTAAATTTCCTTTTAGGAGCAATAAAGTCTTATTGATATAAAGATACCTAAATTGTTGATTATATTTTGTGTTCTTAAACAGCTAGCTAACTAAACTTAGGTAATTAATGTCGTAGAGTAGAAATGTAAGGGAACAGAAAATGATATACTTGAGTAAAGTACTTCAAAATTGTACTTGAGTACAGTACTTGAGTTAATCCACTTAGTGATATAAAAGTCGGCTGTGTGGCAATAACAACACTAATCAGTGTGAACATGGTCAATATATTACACTCTATTGTTTGAACAGCTTGACGAGATGATTGATGAAACTCGACCAGGGTTCGTTTACCTTTGTGTGTCCATCTCTGAACTTGTTTGCATTGGTGTCAGGTTCACAGGAGATGTGTCTCCCTCCTATAAGGTGGAGGATTCTCACAGGTTTGTCAAATTCTGCATCAGAGTAGAAACACACACACACACACACACACACACACACACACAGGACAGCACACAGCCGCTTTTGTCCAAACAGGCTCATGTCAGAGGTCACTGGAGCTTCTTGACGTTGGAATCTATCTAGAGCTCCACTCAGCTATACACAGATCCAGATTAAAGACTAATTCAGTCTTTTAGCAGCTAGATTTGAGATTTAGTCAAACCTCATTTTAAATCTCTGATAGACCGACATACAAGATGTGTAGCGACATGATAAAATGATTGTACAGTCATAAACTATTTTGCCCTGTCATATTGAAGACTATAAATGCCACAGGCTATTGATACTGTTCCTGTGTAAATATGCTGCATAGCACTTTTAATAATAATATTGCACTTAACCACAAAACATCAGACAAGGTAACAGGAAACACTTCTGGCCGTGGGAACAAAGGAAGTATAACGTTGACCAGCACAGCAAATTCATGAAACAGTAATTCAGAGTAAGCTATGATGTCTAAACCATAAAACAGAAGTTACTCAGTTGATAAAAGAGAATACAGATGTTTCAGAAAGACTGAGAAATCATACATTTTGAGAAGGGAATTTGAAAAAGACACAGACCAACTATAATATGAGTAAGATGATGTTTTAAAGAAATACATTTCAAATTTGAAACTAAGTTTTCAGGGGCTTAAAAAATGTATAATGTCAGTGAGGGTTTTATGTTTCCACATCATATTTGTGTTAAGTTGTCTATTAGTTTACAAGCTGCAATATCACAAAATCATCAAAATCTCAAATGTGCACGTCTTTAAAGTCATGTTTAAAACAAACTCTTCCTGTTTGGCCAATGGATGTGAAATCAGCCTTCTCATGTCACATTCTGCACAGTGAAGCTCAAACATCCACGTGACCTAACAACAAATAAAACTCATTTTTGAGCAGAGGGGGGAATTTAGATAGGTCAGTGCTGTGATGAAAAAAATGGGAACAAACATGCAAATTTTTGTAGGAAAAAATTATTAAAGTTGTAGGATAAATGAAGATGTTATTTGTGATTATGTAGTTTCTTGAGTTTTCAGCTGTACCCCTCCATGATTCACTGCACCCACTGTGCAGGTTTACAGTTATACTCCTCATTAAAACCGAGCAGAGCTAATCACATCTGAGGGTGAAGTGGAAATGTGGTGCATGAATTACATCAGATCAGTCTCACTATCTAGGGACATATCCTTAATAATTCAAGACAGGAAAATCATAACAGAACTAAGCAGAACAGACCATCCTTGAAATACCAAGATCCTTTATTTACGGATAGTTGAGATTCTTTTTCTTTTAAACAGCTCTTTAGACACTGTGTATAAAATGGCAAACACTTCACATGACCATTCATGCTTATCAAAATAAGAAAGCAGACAAGTAAAACCACTTAATGGTTAGAGTTGCTAAGTTAAGGAGTTTAATGTTGAGAACAGAGGGACCTTTTGATAGAAACAGATTTATCTTTTACCCTAACATCTGTACAACCTTATTAAAAAAAAACATAATAAGCTTTTCTAATGTTCCTATTGGCTGTCCTACAAATGCAGATGCACGTGCATGTCCATTCGGTGAAAGTCTGATTTAATGGCAGACAATCTCACAGAAGAAGTTGCTATTTTAGCATTGCCAACAACTGTCTACATTGCAAGCAGCCCAAAAAAAGGAAGACTGACTTATCAAAAAGCGAGGCAAAAAGAAAATCTGACAATAAATGATATATAACATGTCAATATTAGCAAGGTGTTTCAGAGATAGAGAGAAAATGTTACTAATAGTTTAGCCTTCTGCTAACCAAGCTTAAGTCTCGTGGCTGCGGTTTCAAGTTTATGTTTATGTAGCTAACCTTAGCAAGAGCCTCGAATCACAGTGTGTCCTTCACCTCACTTTGTGCTGCTACAGACCAGCTCACTGGGAGGAGAGCGAGCAGCAGCTCCAGAGACTGACCCCCAGTCACTGGCCACAGCAACCCGAAACCAGCCAGCGCAAATCCCAGACAGCCCTTAATCTCCGCCGAATCTGCAAACTTTCTGTTGCTGCTGTTACACAGGTTAGACCCAGTGCTGCTGATAGTTACCAGCCTGCTGCGACACCAAGAACTAGGGGGTTTGGGCTGTTCTCCTCCCAGGGTAGCAGTCTAGAGTGGCGGGAAGCGAGGTGGAGGGACCTATGGGTGCGCTGTCTAGCTCAGGGGTTCCCAACTGGTGGGTCGGGGCCTAAAAGAGGGTCATGGATCCATTGTGAATGGACCGAGGGTGATTCACGAATGTGTCAAGTTTGTAAAAAACACACTTTATTTTGCAGTATATTGAATTTCTGGCACAGAGCTTTTCTTTTGAAGTGCTGTTTCTTCCTGTAGACTCAGTGACTAGTGGACAGCTACTTGACGGACAGCAAACTAGCTTGATGACACAGCTAAATGCAAGTATGGTGCTAAATATATTAAACGGTGTGGACCTTGAACTAATGTCTAAGGAGAAAACTGGATCCTGTGGCTGGACCAGTTGGGAACCACTGACCTAGCTAATCTTGTCTTATTTGTGGTCTGATAAATGGGAAACGGGTGGAGCGGATGAACTGTACAACTGAACTGTACAATGACATGAGATTTAACAAATCAATGTACATGAAATACTGGGTTACTGTATGAAACGCGTACCATGCTTGAATGGTGGGAGGGGCTTGGGGCAGAGAGGGGAGAGCTGCAGGAGAAGGGTGTGTTTTCAGATTCTCCAGATTTTCCCCCCAGCTTTATGTGTTCTTGTGTATGTGTATGACAGCTTTGTACAGATACTGAGAAAAACAAATAGCAAAAGAGGTCACAGCTCCAGCAACATTTGTAGCATAAAGAACCACTTAATTGTTGGAGTTTTGACCTCTTTACACTCCCTTCTCCACGCACCTTGGAAGTATGTAAAGTTGTGACAGAAATCCAGACCCTGCTAAACACACGTTGCAACAAACCACCGCACTGCAGTCGACATTGTTTGGTCGTATTTATTATTTTACATTTTATCTGAATTTGAGTACTCTCGATAGAAAGCTGAAGGAAAAGAGTTTCACTCACACATAATGTAGTTTGAGCAGCAAGAAACATACAATCAAACAAGTGGGAAAGACATTAACAATATGTTATGTGCAAACATCCCAGCAGTACCATACAGATCCGTTATAAAACTACAATGTTTTTTTATTCTACCGCCACCCACTAACTAAATATTTCTCTTGTAAACTTTGTGGATGGCTGAGTGTTTTTACAGTTTTAGTCCTAAAGCCAACCACCTCCAGGCTGATCCTGGTTAAAAGAGACACTTAACGAGGACAAAATGGGTTTTAACATCTGTGCTAACATTTAATCTCCAGGTTTCAAACAGAAATCTCTTCAGAGGATAAATACTTTGGAGCTGAAAACATGAGCCATGCAAAGAAGCCACTGTAAAAAGACATACAGGGGATGTAGCACTAGATAGCCAAAGTGATTTCCTTTTTTTTTATTTCTCCCAACCAAGCAGCTCGGGCTCTGACACATTCATCGTCTGACATGTTTGTCCTCCTCAGCCCTCTTCTACGTGCAAACTTCCAAACTTCTCTCGTCCGTCTCTGCCTCTACATCTCGATGGCTTGTAGGCTGTCCTCCCATCTCTTTTTTTCTTTTCAAAATTTAAAAAAAACGTCAAAATTCATTAACGGTCTTAACATTAAACATGCTACTGTAATATAAAAACAGTTCTTTTCAGTAATTCCTGTATCTATGTGTTTGAAAGAAAAAAAAAACTAAAACCCAGAAAGCCAATGTCAGGTAAACATTGCATTCAGTTACATTAAAAATAAGGAAATACTGATAGACATGGGAAAATTATCATCATCATCTTATTATCATTTAGCTCAAAGTACCAAACTAACAAAAATGTAATTGATAGGTCACAGCAAGCAGATGCAGCTTATGATTTGTTTTCATATTAAACTGTAAGAATATGGCGTTTTATTCCAACAGAAATCATCCCCCCACTGAGTTCATGTTTTCTTTATGATGCCTGTGCAGACGAGCAGCAGAAGTTAAAAAAAAGTCTTGTGGGAGTGGAGATCTTGCAGATGCTGTAATCCGCAAGAACTGGAGTGATGAGATCTCACGAGACCCGTCTGGTTTCTTGATAGTGTCCCAGGCTTTTCAGCTTCGTTTATGCAGGAAAAGTAAAAGGCAGCAAGTAAAAAGACTCTCAGGTTAAGTCATTCGGGGTCACGTCTTCCTGGGAGAGTTCACATCTAGGTAGTGCATGTTTCGGTTTGGGGTGGAGTGGTCACATGCTTCACTCGGGTGTGTTGGCGTCTCATGGCTAAAAAAAGGTGCATCACTGCTACATGTGTGGGTAAACAACAGTCAACTTATAAAAGTTTTGCTCCAGAACCAGCGTCATGATGACTTCCAGCTGAAAAGTGGCGCTAACATGCTATGGTGCTGGGTGGAGTGTAATTGTTTTCAGATGAAGGTGGAGTCCATGGTGCTGGTGTCTTGTGCGCTGCGGGCCCGAGCCTCGAAAAGCTGTTTTATCAAGGCAGACTTCTCCTGCTCCAGCTGGGCGATCCGCTCGCTCCTCTCTGTCACCTCCTTAATGAGAAGAAGGAAAATAAATGAGATGAGTGACTGGTGGTAACTCTTAGAGGCTATTGGCAGCGTGTAGACTGTGTCAGACCTGTGTGAGGAGTCGGTTCTGGTCTTTCAGTCTCTGGATGGCTTGTGGAGGAGCTGGACCAGGAGGCTGGGGGTTAGCGGCTGTCTGTGCAGCGCTGGAAGGAAATGACTGCTGAGAGACAAAGAGGAAACAGTGTTAAATGGAAAGAGTCATAATTTACATGTCTGGTAGACCCAGCTTATCATAACCCACTTTGTCTATTTCAGTTTCAGAATTTCCCTGAATATTTTAGCTTTGAGTCACACAAATTTCCCAGTAACAATTATTTGGTTTACAGCTAAACCATGTCGGCATTTTAACATTGTCTACGGCCAACCTACTGTGCCATGAGCTGAATGCTAACGTCAGCATACTAACATGCTCATAGTGACAATGCTGATGTTTAAAAGGTATTTTGCATGGTCTAATCTCTATGAACACATATCTGCATGTACGTAGGCAATGGTACAAGATTTTGGTATTGGAAGAGGCGGGGTACACCCTGGACAGGTGGCCAGACTTTTGGAGGGCTAACATGTAGACATAGACAACCATTCACACACACATTCACACCTACGGTCAACTTAGAGTCACCAATTAACCTGCATGTCTTTGGATTGTGGGAGGGAGCTGGAGTACCCAATGCTGACACGGGGAGAACATGCAAACTCCGCACAGAAAGGCTCCCCCACCCCAGGGTTCGAACCAGGAACCCTCTTGCTGTGAGGCTACAATGCTAACCACTGCAGTTGCTAATTGAACTGTTAACAATGAGCGGAACACAGAGGAGGGTCTTCGCCCATATATCTGCTGTCTTCACTGGATGTCCCAAAATATTGGCCATTGCCCCCAGAAGCTTTATTGTCGTCAGTCGATAGCCAGTGGGTTCTAAGATTGACCATGGTCCAAATATATTATTGGGCTATCCCGAATACCATTTTTGGGGGCTCCAGAGCCATATTTGGACGACACGACAGAGCTAACCCCTCTAGTTGTTAGCACGCTGCATTTACAGCTATGGTTAACTGTGATAATACTAATGCAGGCTTAAAACCATCAAAACAAAATATACTTCTTCAGAAAAGCTGAACATACAACTCCTTAGAGGGTCTTTTAGTACCACCAAGCTGGAGTGGAGCAGATACTGATCAGATCCAGTTCCAGTCTCTCCAAAATCCATTCATCAATACATTGGAAAGTTCTAGTTTTGTACAGCAGTGAATCACAGTATTGAATATAGCAATGAACAAGTATCGAAACATCTGTAAAAACATCCACATTTACATTATCGTGAGATTGTGAGACACTGACAAATACTTGACCAATCTCAATCTGTAGGTTTTAATGCAAGAGTCAGTGGGGCAGCAAACACTCACCATCCCAGAGCAGGTTATAAGGTCATTAAGGCAGCGGTTGACTTCTTGCAGTTTGGGTATTAGAACATTCATGCGACTCTGATTGGCTTCTGTGAAGAAATCCTGAGTGGAGAGAAGATAAAAGACAATTGTGAAATTAAAGAGAGTAGTTAAAGGTCTGAAAAATGTCATGACAAGAAGGGACGAAGACCTGACAAACCCAGGACAAGCTTTGGTTAAAGGCAATTTAAAACAGCAAATAAAGAGGGAACAGTTACATGACTCAGTCAAAACACACAACAAGACAAATTAACACCAGCTGGTGCTTTGCTATCAGGTTGTTTTCTAACAATCAAGTCAGTCTTGTTCAAATCGAGCAAAACATTAAGGGATAATCTGAGGAAGAACACTGTCAAATCTTTTTTTTTCAATACTTTAGATCATATTCTTTTACAACCACCAGTTCATACTGGAAAAAAAACCCATGACCGATTACTGAGGCTACTGTGGGAAGAAAAAATGTCTGCCTCTTCTTCTGCTGCAAGGTATTTTACCCCAACTGCTGAATGTGATTAAAAACAACTGAAATATGTAGCCCTTAATTTTCTGTTCTGTGGGACTGACACCAAAATCTGATACTTTATATTTAGGGCAAACTATAAACCTCTCCCAACAGATAAATAGTTCATAGTAATATTGTCACAATACTAAAATTTAGACTTTAACGTAATACAAGTATAAAAAATGATATTCGATACCTCTTTCATACCAAGACAAAGAGGAAAATAAGTCCTCGGCACATTTAACAGGATAATTTTTTTAAATGTACAACTCGCGCACAGTGCTCGAACAGATAATGTTACTGAACAAACACCATTCGATACCAACGAATGTATAATTAATGGAAATTGTATGGTTTTAAACACGTGGTATTAAAAAAAAATCAATATTTTGACAACCATCATTCATTTTTTTTTTATTGTCAGATTGTTTGTTAATGTTGTTTTATTTGAAATTATAAAAAGAACAAGTTAAACGGCTATAAATCTGTATTGTATATAGTACAACAAGTTTCATCGTCACTACTTTTACCAGTTTTAGACCAGTGTGTGAACTGACCGTGCAGTGGGAGCTCTGGCCAACCTGCCGCTGTCTCTCTGTGACATTGTGGATTTGGCCCTGGTACCACTCGCGGGCCCGCTCCACCACTTCCAGGCCCGCCAGCAGGGAGTCCTTCTCCTGCTCCAGTTCTTTCATTTGCTTCAACTGTGTGAGTTGAAAGTTAAAAAGGAGGGTATGTTGTTGCAGAGTGAAGAGGAGGGGGACAGGAAAGGGGTGGAAGAGAAAAAATGTGATTAAGAACAGACAAAAACAAACTCGCCTGAAGTCACTCTCCGCGCAGATCTCACATAGGGACATTTAATTTCGGTATTTCCCATGCCATCACTGAGACAGCATTCAGATCGCTGCCAAGATTAAATGTAATTATTGATTTCTGGCTGCCAACAGCCCGCATGGTAGACAAACTCCCATCTTTTCACAAGGGCATCTGCAAACTCTTTTGTGCCGGCGGAGACAATGGCGCCATACCAATTGTGCCGGACTCTCTCCCATCCTGAACAATGTTTAGAGGAGCAATCAGTCCAGCGTCATGGCAACCGCACAGCAACCTAAGAATGGGGTAAACAGAACTTCAGCTATGGCCACCCCAGCGTGTGTATGTGAAAGAGAAAGAGAGATGTGTGTGTGTGTGTGTGTGTGTGTGTGTGTGTGTGTGTGCACCCCAGCAAGGCTGCATTGAGTTGTGCTGACCAGGCTGTCCATGCGGCACACTGCCACAGTCCAGGCCTCATTGCTGGCATTCAGCCACCTGGTGTGTCATCTTTCTATCCACCCATCACTCCATCCCTGCGTCCCCTGTGTAGCTCAGTACATTCCTGCGATCATCGCTCATCTCTGTTGTTTAGAACACTCACAGGGATACGTTTTGTAAGAGCAAACTTAAAAAGGACAAAGGATTTAAGTGACTCATTTCAAATCCTCTTTATCATATTTCTCATCATACACAAAGAGCCTGTAGTTAAAGTCCACACAGAGGAAGAGAGGGGGGGGGGGGGGGGGGGGGGGGGGGGGGGGGGGGGGGGGGTTTAGGGGAAGAGAAGGAGGTCGGAGGGGTAGGGGTCCGTGTCTAGAATGAAGCACGACCCAGTGTCAGGCTGCATGAATGTGCAGGAAAACCCACTGTTTAAAAAATGAGAAAGAGAAAATACACACAGAGAGGGAGCAGAGCAGCGAGTGGCTGAAAGGTTATGGAAAAGTCTGTGCATGTGTGTGTGTGTGTGTGTATGTGTGTGTGTGTGTGTGTGTGTGTGTGTTAGCTGAATGAACAGACATGAATACACACAACAACGCACATACAATAACATGACACCCGTTGCATGAGCTGTTGAGCACAAAGAAGAACATAACAGCCTTTCAGAGTGTAACTACAAAGCACTGTGAAACAGTATGTTTTGAACCTTGAAGGCTAATACAGCAGGAGGCCAGGGGCAGTAGAATGTGCAAGTGCCTTAAAAAAGGACGGTTTACTGATACTATTTACAAGGGTTTATCATTCCACTTTTTTCTGATGAGTTAAATAATTGTTTATTTTATAAAATGTCAGAAAATAAAAGAAAATGCCAAAAACAACAACCCAGAAGTCTCAACTTACTGCAAAAACCATGGGAAAAATCCCCAAGGCACTCTGTCTTCAGGTGAAATAATTTAATACATTTATTCTTCCAGCAAAGGCTATACAAAGAAGTGCCCATCAGAAGTTTCAGAGTCAAACTTTACATCTTGAAAATGCTTGCTTTGTCCAACAAACTTGAAACCAAAAGATATTAAATTTAGGTTCATAATAAAGAGACAAAAGCAGCAAATCCACACATTTAACAACATCAATTGACTCTTTTCAGCATTGTCCATAACCTAAAGCTCTACAATACCACAACTTGTTACACAACAAAAACAAGTCCCTTAAAGAGATTTTTTTTTCTTTTCATTATTGATCTAATTAATCAATTAAACATTTAGTTAATTAAAATTTAGAAAAGACTGAAAAATGCCCATCAACTTCTCCCAATAACCTGTTTTGTCTAAAAAACTGTAGATATCCAACTTACAATGGTATAAAATTGTAAAAATACAACATCCTCACATCTGAGAAACTGTTACTAGCAAACAAATGTCATTTTTTCTTGAGAAACCACTTGAAACATTGCTGTCAATTAAGTATTTCAGTCTAATAAGCAATTCATTTCTTGTCTCAGCACGAGTGCAAACCCTGAAGCTTGACAGTAAGAGCCAACAAACAAGCCCCAAAGTCCCTAAAAATAGCACAAATAAATAGTTTACAGTATCCTGTTCAACATACACACTGAAATAACAGTTGAACTTTCTATTTGTCTCAAAACAACCTGATGCACATCAAATCCTAAAATACACTCATCTCAAAGACAAACTTTAATTTCCTCCACTACAACCATCTCTCCCTGTACGTCTCCGTCCCTCTCGTCCTACTCACCCAGAGGAAAAAATGCAGAGCCTTGCTGCTGTAGAGACTACTGCTGAGGGGGATGAAGACGGTAGTGTAAGCAGCCAACACAGCTGTCCAGGCTGGGCTGGGCCGGCCAAGCGAGTCCTCTACTTCACCCAGGCCCCTGGGCCCGACCCGGCTCACTACCATCAGGGCAGCAGCGGGCCAAGTCGGCCTGGGTGGGAGGGCCGGAGGGAAGGGGGAGGAGGAGAGGGGCAGGGAGGGAGGGAGAAGGAGGGGAGTCGGTCAGTCAGCCTCTCCAGACACAGAGGCCGAGGGGGGAAAGAGACGGAGACGGCGACACAAACGGGGAAAGAAAGAGGGAGAGAGGAGGCGAGTTGGAGAGAGTGAGAAATGGTGAGGCAGGGGGAGAGACGGAGAGTGAAGGGAGGCATGAGCTCCCAACTGGAGGGTGGGAGGGGCAGAGAGAGGGGGAGGCAGCGGGCAGAGGGATGGGAGGGGAGAGTGCCAATAGAGAGTGAAATGGAGAAGAGCCTCTAATAGGCCACCTTCTTTTTTCCCCTTCTCATTTTCCTTGAATATTCATGCTTCTACAGTTTACTTTGATATGAAAATAATGTTCCGACATATCAGTCCCTGTTCTATAATATTTAGTATGTCAGAAAAAGTTTCAGTAAGTCCTGATACAGTATAAAACATGCAAAATGCAGCATGCATGCTATTGCATCCTGTAGCATTTTGTAGTGTGAAAGCCAGCTTGCTTCTCTGGCTGTACTAACCCACAGTGCAGACAGATGACAGCTCATTGACAGCTGACAGAAGCTGCAGTGACTGTAGTCAATCAATTTCAGACAATATACAATGCATGCAAATATAACTAACTAAAAGTTAAAACTACATACACTGCAAAGAAAGAACAGTAGAGCTCCCAAGCTTCATCTCCGTACCTGGCAAATCCAGCAACTGGTGTTTTGTTGTTTTTCCAAGGTGACGTTAACCAATGACATTAAGCTGCGTTCCAAATCACATACACATTACTCCAAATTTGGCAATGTTATGACAAAGTAGTATGTTCCAACTGTGAGCATACTCCAAGTAACAGTATGTACTTTGTAAGGGGAGCTGCAGCATGTACCAAAAGTAAAAAGAAAAGTATGTGATTAGGAATGCAGAGTATATCTCTCTGATCCACTGACTCTTTTTCCAACTTAACACAACTAAAATACAGATAGATACTAAAGAACAATGTGTCACACTTTGTCAGTTTTAACAACTGGCACAAAAATACTGGATATTAAAGACTATTCTAAAGAAATGTAAAAAACATAAAAGAAGTGAGAAACTTTACTGAGCCAAAGACAACATATTATAATGGGTTTTTTTTCCCAACCAAAGGTCCAATAGCCAAAAAAAAATCAATTTACCATCCTATCAGACAAAGAAAAGCAGAAAATCTTAGAATTGAGAAGCTGGACATTTCTTTTGGCACTTTTGCTATTAATTATAATTGTTTCTGATTAATCTTTTGTCAGTCAACTAATTGACACCATCTCGATAATAGATGACCTACTATAAATAAAATAAAATAAAATAAAATAAAATTAAATTAAATTAAAAATATATATAAATTTAAATAAAATAAAAAATTAAAAATCCAGAGTATTATCTCAACTTGAAATCACCATTGACTGAAGGCTGTGTAAATTCTAAAACAGTAGAACGATATGATGATCTCAGTAGACATTGTAACAGAACCTACTGATTGCTGCCAAACTGCTTTATTCTTTTGTGCTGTAAATAGATAAATAGACGCTTTAATCCTGAGGGAAATTAAGTTCCCCTGTAGCTTATTACACGTTGCATACTAAAAATACAAAAGAACAAAATACCCATAGGGATGGAGAATATGAGTGTAAGAATAAAAACACACAGCAGTGAAATGATACTGTAGTCCCAGGACTACTACAGAGAGCTACTACTATAGCAGACGTGCTCAACTGCTACTGCTAATGCTGTAATCTAAACCAGAAGTAAAAAGAAATATTTCCAAGCTGCAGTAATGTCTTCTATATTAGAATCAGCCACACATTGCCCAGACCTTGGTTTATAATCCAAGTATGAGCTTGAGTATGACGTTTAAATGTAAACTAGTGACGTGCAAGTCACCTATGAAGACCAGAGAGTTTCAAATTAAAGGAGTTTAAAATGGTGGGTGCATCTGTCTAGTAACAAACAGCTGGATCTGTTGTGGGGAAGTTACTAAAAACTGGGCGTATCCACCGCAGACCCACCCATCATTACATGTAATGTCGACCTATAACCTAGTTTGCCATTTAACCAGCTATTAATGAAAAACCACATGCATGTACAGCACTGACAGTCAGAAACGTTTCTAACTGAAACCTGGCCGAGGCGTGGCCCCTTGATGAAACTTTGACAGGTATGCTTTGTCGAGACTGTTCCAGTGTGTGTGTGTGTGTTTGCATGTGTGTACCAACCATGCCGTAATCCACTCCGTTGGATATGGTATGCCGCCTCTGCTCTTCCCGACTCCGCCCGTGTCGCCTGGAGCCTCCAGTAAATCCTGTTGCTGATTCACTCTGGGATCTTGGTAAACCTGATTTCACAACACCTTAACAAATGGGAAACAGACAGATTATGATCAATTTCAACACTGCAGTCTGGTATGCTCTCTGTAATCACTGCAGACTTACTGGTTGCCTGTTGAACATAGCTGTAGTAACAGTATAGGGGGAAAAAACACTAGGGATAGACCAATACGGATTTTTTAGGGCCGGTGCCGATACCGATTTTTTTCCATCACCCTTAGCCGACGACTGATTATGGACTGCCGATTTTCTTGAGCCGATATTTGGGGCCAATACTGCTTTTGCTCCCTCAATTTACATCAAAAAAATGACACAATGATAACAAATATTACAGGTCTCAAGTTTAAAATAAGAAACATTTATTGAACAGTAAAAAATACTAAAACAAGATGGAAAGTTGAGGTAGAACAGGTAGAATATTATTATTATTATTATTATACATTCAAATAAAAAAAAGAGTTCAGTGCTCTTAAATCTTCCAGTAATGTCTTTATAAAATAAACAAATATTTAAGCTGAAGCATAAATAAAACAACAACTACTGTACACAGTAGAATTCGCTGCATGTGCGCTGCAGGGTCTTCTGGCAATACAGAGCTGCCTGTGGATGCCTGTCTGTAAATCATGCCAGGGAAAAATAAATCCGCGAACCCACGCGCGTATCGGCCAATGCCGATACAAGTAAAAAAACTCAAATATCGGCCCAATATATCGGCCAGCCGATGTACTGGTCTATCCTTAAAAAACACTTTGTATTCTTTGAAACACTCTCCCTAATAATGTCAGCAATTAAAAATACTCAAATATTTGTTGCAGAATATAACATACTTCTGGCCACAATGTACAGCTTTAATAGCTGAAAAATTATTAACACTTATAAAATTGAGGCATGATTATTAGTGTATGAGACATTTATCAGTTTTAAATTTTCAGTTAATGCATTTCATGGATTTTGCAAATCCATTCATCATTCTAAATCAGCCCGTGATCTAGCAAATATGAGATAAAATTTATCTAATGTTATTACACTGTCTACGTCTGTAGACAGACAGTAATGAAGAAGACCAAGAAAACTAGAGACTAAACATTATTTTAGTCCGGTGATGCATTTAAGTTGCCAGTGCATACCACAGGAGGGAGCTGTACTCTGCAAATGTGTCTCGGCACTGAACTCAATCGCGGCCCCTTGTTTGATTACTTGCCTGAAGATGAGCTCAGTGGAGCAGACGGAAATATGTGAAGTATCTGAGCTTGAACACACACTTTGGAGAGCCCGTCTCAGAAATCTCAACAACACGGGGCAACCTCCTTGAATTAATGAAACCTAAAGCAAGTCTTTAGTGAATCAGTGGGGAGTAAGTAACACTTTCTGATTTTTTGGCAGGGTTTGTTGAGATCAAGGGAATGACAGAGAGGTGCTGAGATTCAAACTAACTTCAACTGCAAACCCCATCTGCCAAGAAAGCTCCAAAGCAGCTACTAAATAGGCCATATGCTGAGTTTGCTTTGTCAGCTGCTGTCTCCAAGCTCAATGACAAACTGTGAAACTCAGTTATTCCAAAGATAACATACAAAAAGAATTCTCTGCCCACTCCCCTTCAACTCTCATTCAATCTTTGCTGCTTTGTGTGTGTACGTTTTCGATGGGTTCCTGAGGATTTCCTATCACAGCTGAAAGACATGCAGGTCTGATGGAGTGAAAGATGAACTCCAAGCCTTCTGAATTGTGTGTAAACTTGGCAAAGCATCTCAGTGGTATATTTGCAATTGCATTCCCCACATATTTTATCATTATCAGATTTTTTTTTAAGTGAACACCGCTGCTGCTTTACCAGAACCACAAGAAAGTGAAGGAGAGTGGCAAGACTTTGTGGTGATGTCCAGGGTGTTGGGGAGGATTTCACCGCTGCCGTGATTCAGCAGGCCCTGGCCTGTCTGCTGTAATCTTGCCTAATCCAACAGGGTTTGGCTGCATGTGAGAGATTACAGCACCGACACTGCTGGTCTGCATGTGGACATAATGTTAGACACATATGTGATTTTTTGGATGCAGGATCTCATCCCATAACTATGGGCATTAATATGCTGCTGTAATAGCTGCTTAACCACAAGATTTTGGGAACCTGGCTGCAGGGATTTGCTCCCACTGAGCCACAAGAGCGACTTATGTTGGGCAATTCACTCCAGAGGTGTTGGATGGGGTTGAGGTGCAGGTGCTAGTACTACATCACCAAACTCAGTTTTTCCATGGACCTCGCTTTGTGCACACGGGCATTGTCATATTATATAGTTGTATAAGATTTCCTTTCACTCGATTTCATTCTATCCATCCATCTATCTGAACGAAACACTGCACTAGTTTAATGCAAGTGGTGTAAGCAGTGAAAGCCCTGAGGGCTCTACAGAGAGAGTGTCACTCTTATAGTTCCAGACAGGCCTGGCTGTACAGAGATCAGGCAAACTCGGACAGACTCTAGTTGAGTGTGTGTGTGAGCAAGAGAGACAGAGCATGTGAACTAACTCTTATATGACTGCAAGAGAACGAAGAACAAAAGTGAGTTTGTATGAGAGCGAGAGCCTCTATGTATGAACAAGATAATGAGCAGGCAAACTGGGAATTTCTCAGCAGCAGCTCCTCCAACCTACATCCGCCTCACCGGGGAAAAACCGAACAAATGAACATGCACACAACTGACCATCCCACGTTCCCCAGTCAGAGGGGCCATGGTGGGGATAACTGTGCTCCCTCCACGAGGCGAACCCTTGAGATAGATACATTTCTGCTGGAATTTCTGACATGACCTCTGACCTGACCTGGGGTTAACAACGGCAATTAGTAAACTAGGTTGCAGCAGAGGCCCTTAAACAGGTCCTGTTTAAGCTGTGACATAATACTGATACCTTAACATGTCTTGTCAAAACCCAACAATAACTGTTGTTGAGCCCCACTGAGATTTAGGTAAATTCTCCCTTTTAAACTCACAATTTTTACCTTTGCAGGGCTTCCTCTGGATTACAGCCACCAGCATGCAAATGCAGGCACTCTGCAAACATTGTGCACTTGTGTGTACTACATGGATCACTGCATCCAATTAAATTAGAATATGAGATCGAAGCTGGAAGACCGCAGCGGACATTATCAACTCTAGTTGTGCATGCAATCAAATGGCTTGCTCATGGGAATTCAGTCTCGACTGGGTTATGTGTTGGAGTGGGTATTCAGAGATGCAGGGGCTCTACTTTTAACCCATCCTCATGCACATTTTTTTGGTGTCCAGATAAGATTTTGAGTTTTAAGTCGGCAGAAACAGTAGCAAATTAAAACTGAGTCTTTTAAAGGCAAAAGTGGTTAAGTCCTCTGTTTCCTATCACTGTAAATTTATCTTTGACTTTTGGATTATTGATCAGACAAACAAGCTACTTAAAGACTTCATCTTGGACTTTGGGAAACTGTGATGGGCATTATTCACTGCTTCCTGACATTTTATGAGCTAAACATCAATAGGTCAAAATCACAACTGCATGACAACATCTTGCATGAGCTGCTGATTGGCAGATGAGATCAGAGCTGATGTATGTTAGTGTGTGTTGTTATGGATTTTTAACTTATCAATGAGCTCAATAATCATAAACTCAATGAACTGTCCCCAAACTCCTCCACACACTCGCATGCACATCATAAAGGACTTTTCACATATAGCTTTCATGGCACCGCTTACTTGGTCCTTGGAGCTGCGGTGACTCCAGAGCGAGCGACTCAATGGACCTGACCCGGCTCTGCTGAGGCTGTGTCGGCTTGGTGGCATGGCCCGGGTCGGCCCGGTAACACCCGCCCCCCGGAGCGACAGAATTCCGCTCCAAACTCCGCCCGGACCTCTCAAAGCCCGAGCTGTACCGCACCGGTCCACACGCGGGGTACCCGGGCCCCTCCTCCGGCCTGGCCCGGCTTTGTAGTGAGGACGCCCGGTGCTGCTGGGTGTTGGTCACGTTGCTCGGCCCCAGCGGACGGACCTTGTTCTCCACCCGTGTCCCGACACTGCATGTGGACAGCGGGGCGGGTTTCTGGGGCTGCTGTGGGTGTGGGTGCACAGCAGCCTGGGCCTTGAAGTGGGCGCTGTGCTCCGGGTTCAGCATGGAGTACCGCAGCCCCGCTACGAACCGCTCAAAGGTGAGGCAGCCATGCGGTGGCGTGACCCGCCTGAGGCAGTTCAGCACCCCGCCGGGCAGGTCCCGGGTGTCTGCCCCCTGCCAGCGGCTCTCTATCTCCGAGATGTGGACATAGCCCCGTCCAGCATCATCCAAAATGTCAAACAGGGTCCTCAGGCTGTGCAGGAAGGCTTTGGGCAGGCCATCTGTTGAATACTCCGTCTCTTTGGGCTGCATTTTGGCAGCTTTAAAGCTCTCAGTCTTGCCCTGGAGCACCTCTTTTCTCGGGCCAACTCGGCCGTAAATCGCCGACGTCCCGTTCAGCTTGCACCCCTGCTCGGTCGCTATCAAAGCCATGAATGTGCTGCTAATCTCCGGCGACTAATCAATCAGAAACACACCAACACAAGTTGGCTCACTTCATGTAAACACACTCCGGGACATACAGAGTGATAAAATAAATAAACGTTTACAGAACAACAACATACATCTCCTATTAACGCCTTTTAGCCTAAAATTATTCCTATGTTTCACCGTTTTCACCGTCTACCTTCCCAGCTCGAAACTCCGCTGCTGTGTGATCCATACTTTCCTTTTTCTAGCGAGGACCGCCCTTCAAACGGCTGTGCGCGAGGGTCCCGGGACCAGCCATTGGCCGCGGTGTGCACGAGCTCAGCTCTGATTGGCGGAGGCGTGAGGTAGGCTCCAGTTTGAGTTGTGCTTTTGTTATTACTAATGCAGAGACGTTATTCATAAAGCCTCCATATAATCAGAAAGAGCTGGGTAAACTATCACCTTACAGCCACACACACAAGCGTAATGGGGAACAGAGGCCCTTTGTTTCACTTAATTAAATAACCTTACATTTTGGATGGGGTGGAATATGTAATTTTAATATGTAAACAATTTACCTATGTTGGTTTTAAGTCTCAAACTTTACCATCATCTTTCTCAGAAAGATTTAAAGGGTACACACGCCCATTTTCTAAACTCATACATGTTATTCTCAGCTGGCATTCTAATGTTTATTCACTGTTGAATTATGTTTTGATTTTGAAAGATGAATCAAGGTTGATTTCACAATGTTGTTTAAAAAATGTTTCACCGTTGAAACAGGTCTTTATAAAATTCCAATGTTGATTCATGAGAATTTTGTTAACCTTTTCACAACTTTGTTCAATGTTGTTTCAATGCTGAAACAACAACTCACATAATTTCAACCACATTTCAAGGTTGAAGGTCGGTCATGTGCCAGGTGAGTTCCTATGATCAAAGACAATCCAAAAATACTAGTAAACATGAAATCTTTCCTGAATCCAAAAACTAGAGTGCTGAAATTTAAATCAGTGATGTCATCATGAATAAAATCTGGAACTGCTTTGCAGACAATGGATAGTGTAGGTGACGTTTTTCTGTAGGCCAACATGGAAGTTAGCATCACCCTGGTTCCTTTGTTAAAAAGCCAATGGGATTTTTACAATGGATTTTGAATTGTTGCAGAAAATAAGTTCTGCGGCAACAAACAACAAGTGCGTTTACATGAACATGAATAACCCGTTTATGATCAGGTTTTTTGAGTACCCTGTTTATGTGTTTGAGCATGTAAACACCATGAGAAACCCAAATATTGCCAGCCGGAGTACCCTGAAAGAAATTGGGATGAATATGGGGAATATAAATAACCCGATTTCTCTGTGCCCATGTAAACACCGTATCCCAAATATGATCATTACTGGGATGAGCTTCATAAATGGGTTATTCATGTCCATGAAATTGCAAGATAATCTTCAGAAATTAACACCGCTTTCATGATTTTTGAAGTCTAAATGTAATTGACAGGGATAAAAAGCTAATGTCAGGCTATAAACGAATTACACCATGGTCGCATGACTTCAACGTCACCACCACAACAAGGCTATAAAGCCACATTCAGTGTGATCACATAAGTCTCATAAGCTGGTGTTAACCACAGAACTTATTTCGGGGATCTAACTGACAACCCATTCAAAAAAACCCATAGACTTCAAGATGAGGGAAATGGGAGTGCTAAAATGCAAACTCATTACCAGGTTTTAGGACTCATCCCTGGGGCACTCCATTGGGAAAGGTGTTATAGATGACCTGACCCTTCATATGGTGCTGGAATAAGGATTTGACAAGTTGAAGTCATATATGCAGCAATATGGCGTTTGAAAAAGAAATGTTTGGTTGATTGTAATAAGCTTTTTATTAGTTCACTTCAGTTGCAGGTCAATATTTTACTCACATGTAATTTGTAATATGATAAAGTTGTAACTGTCCATGTAGAGTGACCGTGATTAGTAAGAAAGGTTATTTATTAGCATTAGTGGGGTAAAACAATATTTCAGTAGGTGTTCAGTAGGTATTTTAGGGGATATGCTGGTGCAGCAATGAGCCTGGGACAAAATCACTTTGTAATATTAAGCTTCAAACTATTATCAACAAATGAAATGAAATAGGAACATATGAGAGCTGAATGCAGCATAACTTCTCTGGTTTCTGCCTCCCAGAGAGAGTAGATCATGTTCACAGATATTGATTGAACTTTCCTCGGCCATGGAAATAATATCTTGGAATTCTTAACTTAAGTGGTGTTCCCCTTTAAGATATATTATAGTAATTTGCTGCGGATTTTACAGCAAAATCCCAGTTCAAAGTGTTAATTCTACAGCAGCATACTGCTAGATCACAGTAACTTGATGTACTGTTAAGCTACCATCAAGAGACAAGGATGACTCTTTATAATCCATCTAAACAAAGAGTCAATTGTGTTTCCTCCTCCTTCCAAAGATCCTATCATCGTGCATCAGTTTCGATGTGATGTAATGTAATGTATATCAAAGTTTTCTCTCAGCCTGGCTGGAAAGCTGCATTCACCCTGCTCCGCATCCCTGCACACAACATGCATCCAACTTCCACAAAGTCAAAACACATCACACCCATTTCTGGCACTTCAGGGACACTTGTTCTGCTTCTCCTCCTTCAGCGATGAGTCACATAGGAGAAACTCTCTGTCCCTGCACAGACCCATGTTTATCTTTGACCTGCCCAGACATGAGCTGCCATCCCATCATCATCTCCAAAACCTTTAGCACTGATTAGTGTTAAGATGCTGTCACACTCTCACAAAGGACTCCCTGTAATTTCCCAACTGCCTCGTAGGTGTTATTCTGTTATCTTACCTGTCAGACCAGGTATTGAATCACATGTTTCCCTATCACCAAATGTTCTGTACATTTTTCTGTATGAGAGAAGAGGCCACACAATCAATAAATGCCCTCACAGCAAACATATGTGTTCCCCCTCGCTCTGACAGTCAATCACACACCAGTTGTTCTTGTCAACACATCAATTTGTGGCAATTGACTTTGACTCGGGGCTGTAGAGGAGGGCAAAATAGAGCACATGTTCAAATACATAGTGTTTCAGAGTATAGATTTAGATCTATGGTGATTAGCCTCACCCAATGTGGGGCTACGATTTTTTTAAAAAAAGAAGCTTGAAATATTTTTGTTTTGGGGCTTTTTTAGGACTTGCATCTCAGGCTTGCCTGTTACATAACCTAAGGAAGACAGAAACTGTAAGAAAGAGGAGAACACTCACTGTCCAGTCGCAGCCCGGCTCAGTGTGATCATTCGACTCACAGGGTCAGACAACTGAGGGCTCACTCCTGCTCTCCTCATCTCTCTTTCTCATGTCACGCACATGTACCGCTGCCAAACACTCACACACACTTCAGAAACCGTGCCAGTGGTCGCAGAGCGTGCCAAAAGGCCAGTCCATACCACTGTTTGTTTGAGTTATTGGACATGTACAGATCCTCGGCTCCACTGGACAGCCAGTGCTCTCATGTAACACGCTTGCACACACACACACACACACACACACACACACACACACTCACTTCTCCCTCACTCATTATCTCCTGTTTGCTCTCTGTTTCTCTTGAGTCCCTTTAGCAGTATCAGTGTGCATGTGACAAATGATTTGAAAGCTTATTCAGTTCATGGAGCCTGCTTTTTTTTTGGATGGAGATAGACACTGAAAAGGAATTCAAAACCTTCATATCTCAGAGGTGTTAAATCAGATTTGAATTACAGTGGGAGGACGAGAGCGAGGGGAAGCGAGAGTGGGGGAGGATTCAGCCTGCACAAAGATGGAGAGGGAAAAAAAAAGGAACATTAAAATCTTATCTTCCGTCATTCAGATTGCCTCTATTGGGAGACGTTTTTCTTTTACAAACACTGTAAAAATGTTTCCCGCTGATATGAGCTTGTGGTTTTAGCTCACAGAATGTCTTTGGATTGTTTTCCATTAATCAAAAGCTGGACTTTGGACGCTGCATTCACTGGAAGCGTTAAAGCTTGAAAGACTCCATTGTTTCAATGACCTGCACTGCATGGTGCAGAATTAACGTCATTAGCACCTTATTACACAAACTACTTTAGCTGTGCATATAAACTGGAGGCCCAAGAAAAGCAGAATGTAATGATAGGCACATTTTCCTTGTTTTATGAACACAAAATTAGTCTGTATCGACAGCCTAAATGTTATTAGAGATTTCTACACTTTTATGTACAATTTTAAAATGAAAGATCTCATGAAAATGCCCTAAGAGCCATTTTCAACCTTCCAAACTTGGCCTCTAGTCAACATTCAACCATGTGAAATCATAATTTTGCATGTCTCTGTGTTTTTTATATGATATGGAAATGGAATCTGAGTACTTTCCATGGCAGGATCAGCTTTATCTCCCCCTGTGTATGGTACATGTCTATGAAGCAGTGTGTGGCTCATATCACTTTTTAAAATCTCTGTTTAGTAATTTTCAGTGTTGTTATACTTGGGATTGGTCCCTAGACCACTTTTTAAAGGTCTCAGTTTTATCAATCAATCACATTTTAACAAAGTTTTGTCTCAGTCTTGGACAACAAGAGAGTCGGAAATTTTATTTTAAGACCGGTCAAGAAGACCTCAACTGCAGGGATATTATAAATTTCCTGAGTAAAAAAGGAGTGCTGATTACCTTGGTTAGAAAACCCTTTTTTAGTTATCATTTTGAGGTTAATTCTTTGTAGATTCACATGCATATATTTGTGTGTACAGGTACGTATATGTGTAATATGTATGTATGTGAGTAATGTTTACGTGTGTGTATGGTTGGATGTGTATAATTATGTCCATGGAGGGTGTATGCATGGGTAGCTGTGTGTCTTCTCATGCTGTATGATGAATCTTCATCCATGTGTGCATTTATGTTGGGTAAAACCTACTCTCCAGGCAATTTTGTTTTGCAGTGTTAATTGCCTGCTCACTGTTGGTAAGGGCAATAATTTAAAGAAAAAAAGCAGTGGTGAAAAATGATGGTTATGTTGATTTCAGCTCCTTAGTGTCTGTATTTGTTTGCTCACAAAGGGAATTTCCCATACATAAAATCACCTCTGCAATGCCTTTTGGATATTTTATCAAGACACTTCTCATGGTACACTCATACATACACACACAGTATGATGAAGAAGAATCTTCATTTGTTTTCTGTAGGTGTTTTTATGAAAATGTGGATCGTTCAGATTAATTTGAGGAGCACCAATTGTTTGCACGTAACACATTTTATGGTGTCATGCAATGTGGGACTTGCACTGGTCTGGTCTGGTCTTGGTCTTGACAATACTTGTTATTTTCAACACCCTTCTATGCAATTCCAATAAAGCATCATGACATGTCAATACAAGCCAAATCACCAGCTGCACTTCTGTTTTCATGGTGTAGTGTCCTATTTTCCCCTCTAGCTCTGTTAAAAGCATGAACATGTGGGTGTTTGTGTGTATGTGGATGAGGGGAGGATGAATTAGTGTGGTGTCTTTAAACTCTATATGTCAGCATTACTAACAAATTACATGATAATTCATTCAACTGACACTTTTGTCCAAAGCAACTTGCAGTAAGTCAAGTCAAACTCAAAAGAAATCAGAACCAGATGTCTAAATATACAGCATATGTAGTATAAAGTATGTTGGCAATATGTTCTGTATTCTTTTTTTAAAATAACTTTTTACTTCTGAATAACAAAAAAATAAACATGATAAAGGCTGGGTATGTGAATCTTTTTATGTCTTCATAAAGCAAATTCATGAGTAAAATAATCAGAAGGCAGCTTTCAGCAGGATGGAGATAGACTCTCACAGGAGAACACGTTTACTTCTGACTAAATCCAGTGACTATTTGCAATGGCATCTACATGTTTTGTCCCATTTTTTCATATTCAAACCCACTGCTCATGTGCACTCTAAATTAGCACCTAACCTCAAATAATTTATTTATGCACAGATGCAAAATTGACATAAATCCAAACAGGATTAATATTTAGTCATCCTGACATTGCAGGGTTCATTACAGCATCGCTGAACTGAATACTGATGAATGAACATGCAGTGATTAAAGCAACAACAGTAAATGATTTCATGTGGATTACACTGCTGCCCAGAGCATTTTATTAAATAGCTACGAATGCTGATCTCTTTAAAAAGATAAATAAATCATATCAGTTATTGTTGTCCAAAGCATATGATTAAAACTGTCATAGCCAGTTAGATAGCTTGAAAACAGAGACTGGTCATGTACCACTTTGGTTCACTCACCAATGAGTACAACATACAGCTTTGCTGATCCCATGAGGTATACAGTGACAACTAGTGGCTGGTTTTGGTAGTGCCGCATTAATTCTGTTGCATGTCAAACAAACACATCCAAAAAATAATACCGGATCACAAGCTTAACATGGGATTCCTCCTAAAAACCCCGACTAATAACTGACCTCTGATTTGGGAAACTCATCTGTTTATCCACACAGTAATGCTGTTATGAAATTCAAAAGCTCCACAAACTCTGAAACTGGAAAAAAATGGCACTTCATTTATGTGGTGCAAAAATGGAGGTGGAAAAAAAAAACTGGGATGCAATTAAACAGTGTGAACTATCTCACGACCAGCACCATCCCAGCTTGTCTGAATATCTCCACCAGGGTACATTTTCTGAAAATGTGTAGTTATATACAGTAGATACACAATTCATTTAAAACTTCACTCCATCACATCGCCATATTTTGTCTTCTCAGGTCCCTTTGGTACCTCTGGTTGAGACACTGAAAGACAAACAGACAGATGGACAGCATTAAAATCTGTCTTCATTCGGTTCATCATGACTGAGGAACAGAGCTGACATTGATAAATCTGCTCCATAAAACTTTTGCTTTCTATTTAAAGATGATAGAAGACAGTTGCTGCCACATACACATCCACATTACATAATTTTGAGCCATGAGGGGTGGCGAGCAGGTCTGCAGCCGCACACTGGACTCACCCTGCGGTGGCGATCTGTCTGGAACTTTGCCTGTTTCCAGCAGCAACCAGAGATCTGAGCATTTCTGCGTTTCCCAGCGAGTCACTGCATAGCTTCCCACTGAGGATGCCACTGAGAGACAATAAGGAGGCAAGGTTAAAGAGAGTAGAGAGGTAAGGTGGGGGGGAAGTATGAGTGACTTAACAGTCTATGTTAAGTTCATGTTTTATTTCTCACCTATTGAAATGAGCAGGTTCCATTGAAGAGGATAAGGCAGCCTCTTCTGAAGAAGTTTCTGAATGGCAAATAAACCACCAGCACCTGTAAAAGCAACACAGGACACATGTCATGGGCACATCTAAGGAGCAACAATGATAAACATAAACATTTCTGTGACTTATTCCATATCAATAACACTCATTTTTATTTTTTCACAGGTTTTGTAACATTATCGTCCTCTTGCACCTACACTTTTTGTTTCGCTTTTCCATCTCCGGGTCCAACTAGGATCAAAACTTTGTCTATTATGGTTTGGATTTAAGCTGCAGGCTTTACTCTTTTCATCTGTACAAATTTCCAATACCCATGCACCTGCATGTGATGTGTGCACAGTCCTAGAAGTTTTTCAGGATGAAATTGGTGTACATGTCCATAATTTCCAGATTGCAGCTAAAGATCCTGCAGTGGAAAATAGGATTATAGCAGCAATGACAGTATCCGCCAACAATAACCAGTGTCAGGATATTGCAGTAAACAGCAATATGGACAAAAACACAAACATTTCCATGTCCTAATGTCCTTCTTCCAATGTCAATAAACTTTAAATAGTATAATACCTGCTAAGGGTACGATATGTGAAATCACAGATGTCTGAAGTTCATCATGTTACACTTCACTGTAATAGGCCAAACTCACATTTTCAGCTGGCTGTCTTGTGTATTTTCATAGATCGTTTACAAATAATGTATGTACTATAAAACTGTCATCACTCTGTGAGTTCAGTGTGCACCAAACACACTGCTTTATTGGTACCAGAAACATTTGCAAAATACAGCTCCCTCCTGTGGTTAACACTGGTCAAAATAATATTGTGTCTGCAATTTTATTGGTCTCCTTCACTTCTTCTTACTTAGTATTTGTCTACAGACGCGAAGGAATTTAGCTCTGTAAAATTACCTCATAGATTCATTAGTTCAGTTACTTACTTAAAAGCACTGAAAGAGAGAGTGTAAAAATAGATATAAGTCCAATATCTTTGTTATTTTATAATGTATGACAATTCATTGATGTTGATAGAATAAATAAAAAGACAAGAAAGTGTATTTTGCTGTGTGGAAATATTACATATCATCACTCACCAAGTATAAAGGTCCCAGTCCCCTTCATGAAGGCATGAGACTGACAGGCAGCATAACTCTGTAAACCCTGAAAGACAAAATGAGAAAACAAACCACAACAGCTTTACCTACATGATTTACCCTGTATAAACAATTAAACATGTCTATCCAATTTCCATCACATTGCAAAGGTTACAATGTGTGCAGCAGCTCATTCATTTGAATGTCAGTGTCCTCCAGAGATCAGCAGGATGCAGAGATGAGGAACAAAAGTTAAAAACAAAGAACCCACCGGGTGTTTTGCTGCCAGAGCGTCGTCCACTTTGGTGAGACCGAGGTTTACCATTTTGTTGGCTGTTGTGAAGCTTAAACTTTAAGTTTTAAATGGAAAATAACATTAGCTCATGGTGAGACTGCTGTGTACATAACTCAGCTGTTATAAAACTTCCGTGCTGTGAGCCAAGAGAGGCAGAGAGAAGAAGACACAGACGTTTGTATAGAACAGTAGCGACACCTAATGGAGAGGAGGTGGTACTGCAGGCGTACGCCAAAGAAAAGTTGATTTGGAAAGGGAACAAAACACAAAAATATTAACATTACTGAACAAAAAGAGAGATTGTTCTGCTTAGATTTTCAGAGAAATCTCACATAAAAGAAATAAGATAATAACAATTGAAATCAAAAAGATCAACGAGGCTAAAAGTGCAAGGAATTAATTATGAAACACATCAGTATAAAATAGACAAGACAATATTATAAAAATATTTTAATAGTCTGTATCGACTGCTGGTAACAGTCAAACAAATGCTACAAAAGACACACACACAGAGAGGGTTATAATATATACATTTAATTAGTTTGGCTCTTTGAATAAAGCTTAAGTTCATGAAAATTCAGTGCACTAACTCTCAAAGTGATTTTTATTTTTTTTAAATTTCACATTTTGTATTAAATTTTGTCTTAAAGCCAACAAAATAAAGGTATACTCATGAAACTTGTAGGGATCCAATGGCTAACGCTAAAATTAAGTTGTTAACCAAGGAAAACCTCAAGGAGAGAATCGAATGATTTTGAAATTGCAATAAGCCTATCTCGCTCATCCTTGGCCATTAAACAAGGATACTTATTTTTTGGTTGCTATACCAGCAAAAAAATGTAAACTGTTACCTACCACAGCATTAATTTTAGGACCCCGTAAACAGATTAACACATCAAGTCATCATAGTAGCCTGTCTTTGTGTCTGTTACATGCCAAGTGTGACCTCAGGCCTGCCACAACAGCACAGTCTGCTAAACCCAGCGACCCCTCTGTTGACCTTTGACACCACGGTGACCTCAGTGAGGGGATGAGATTGCTGGAGGCTGGAGATGAGCGGGAAGAAGAAGAAGAGGCAGATGGAGAAAATCCAACTGTTGCTGAGACACAAGCTATAACACAGAGGCTTAAGTTACCAGACATCTGTTACTTGTTACACAGCAGAAAGAATAGATATTTGTCCAGGACAGCCAGGAACTGCTTAGCTTAGTCTGACATATAGACTGGAGGTAGGGGGGAAACAAAAACAGCATGTTAATAAGTTATTTTAAGAGTTACTTGAAGGTGGATTTTGTTAGCTTTGGGCAGAGCCAGGCTATCTGTTTCTTTCTTTTTCCAGCCTTTGTGTCTGTAGCTTCATGTACAGGTAGGCTATGAAAGTCTTATCACGAAAAAAATATGCTTATTCACTTTCTTGCCAAAAGATTGAACTATTAGGCTATTTTAAGGGTATATTAATACCATAAATAGCTGTGACTTTTTAAGACTAATATTGGAAAATTGCCTCTTAATGTGCATGATTAACTTTTTTTCATAACATATGAATTCAGGGTGTATTTGGGATCCTTGCATCTGGTGATGAAATTATCAAAGTATTCTACTGTCAGTACAAACTATCACACAGTTTTTGTGATTAGTTTAGACAACTACTAATATTTTTAACATCACAATCATCAACAATTCATAATTAATCTGGTAAGTAAGTTGCCAAAATGCATAAAAGGCATCAAAATAGAGCTTGTTCTTTTAAAAATCCCCCCACAGAGGTCTGGGCTAAGTCTCCAATGTCCTCAAATCTTAGACACACCCCTGTTTGTGATTAATGATCATGGGAATGCAGTGTTCCTCCTGAAGACGTTTTCAAACACTGTGAATCTGAGAATATGAGAAACACAAGCATAGACTCAACTGCAACTGACCTCTACAGAGGGAGGGGACACGAGAAAAGAGACGACCAGAGAAACTATGTAGGCTCGTATTTTTATACACAGAGGAGACTTGGCATTAATCACAGCTTCTCAGATGTTGAAAGAATGCACTCTGCATTTGGCTATTTAATGAGACTGGAAAATGGAAAGGAAAATCATATACATGGGGGAAATGGGAGAAGAGAGGTGTAGCATGTGTTTCCTCAGCCTCAAACTTTTTTGTTAACAGCAACTGTGTGACATTTTGGGAAATATGCTTCTTCGCTTTCAAATTGAAGCACTAGTAGTGAAAGTAGTAGGTATCGATTTTCTCAGATCTTTATCCCACTTGAAAGCAAATATGTGTATTTTTCAGAATGTAAGAACTATTCCTTTAAGTGGAAAAAGTTATGGCAGCTATGCTAATTAACCAAAGCAAGTTTGGAAATTATGGACAGAGGGCAAATGCCAGAGATGACTTAAGAAAGGTATGTTTCTGAATGGGTCTGATGTAAGCTTCTTTGTTGTCAAGGTTAGTGTCGATGAACTGCAGGAACACTGAATCTTCCTCCTACGTGGCTTCCTGTGTGGACGCTGGAGTGGTGCACATAATCCTGCAGACTGAGAGAAAACCAGATAATCTTTGATTTATTACATAAGTGATAAATAAGGATAAACAGGTACATATGTAGCTAGTTGACACAATAACATTCTTTAACTTTATTCAAGTCAGAACCTCATACTCACCCTTTAGTACACAATGAATGGCTCAGGTGGTAGACAAAGAAAGAAGAACTGGTTAGTAAGTTAAACTATAGTATTTGAATAACTAATATAATATGTATGAATGGGTGTAGGTATGTAGCTGTACTTATATCCTACTCTTGTTTTCATCCACAGTGAATGGCAGCAGCTCAGGTAGTGGAGGAGAAAAAGATAAATAATGTAGATAAGGACAGATAATATATTATTTATCAAATCAATGATATGAGATGGAGAAACAAATTTACAAAATAACATATATTATTTTGTCAGTCTTTGCAATTTTGTTTTTTCTAAGTGATTTTCTTTTTAAGTCAGAAGCTCATACTCACCTTTTTTAGTCCACAGTGAACAGCAGCAGCTCAGGTGGGTGAGTAAGCACTAGAACAATAAATATTTTTTGGCGAGATGGACAAATGATCTTTGAATCATTAATAAGTGATATTATATGAACAAGTAGGCCAGTTACACAGCGGTATACATTACATGGTGTATTCTGGTCTATATATCTTTGTCCCTACATTGGTGTAAACCAAGTGTCAGTCTCAGAGGCTGAAAAATGAAGTCAATGCAGAAGTCCCAGAAACTGCAGTTCAGCGAATGGCCACTTGAGGCCTGCTCCAAAACAAAGTAAATTCCCAAAGACTCCCATGTTACAATGTCCAGCTTAACAGCAGAAATAAACATGTTTACAGCCAGCCTCCTTCATGACAATTAAACGAGGGTGAATCTTTTAATAATTCACCCATTTACATTTTACAAAGGCTTACAGTTACGCATGTTTAAGTGACAGTTCTGTCTGCAAGGCATAGCTGCAGTCCTTGAGCCAGACCCACTCCTTGCTCCTCTACAGCTCCAACCTCTTGTCCAAATATGGTCATTTCTGGCTCCAAAAAACAAGATGGCAATGGCCAAATTGCTGAACCCAAGGCTTCAAAGCATGAGTCCACTAACCAATGGGTGACGTCCCATGCGTGTTGTATTATTTAACGTGTGCATTGGTACCTTCATGAGGATGATAAGGAGCATCTTTGGAAATCAAAAGTTTTTTGGTCTACGGTGCTACCTTGATGATGTCTTGGTGTTTGCTCTCTCTGAAGAGTAAGCCCTTCAACATCTTGAAATATTGTTTTCCAAGATTGCCTGCACATAACCTGAAGCTGTCGGCCTCCAAGCATTACTTCCTTGACAGTCAGTGCTGAAGGTGTTGCCACAGATCCTGACAATGTAGCAGCCTGTACCAGACTGATTGAGGCTGATCTGATGAAAGACACTCATCTGAGCAAATGAGTAAAAACCTTTCCTGTTTTGTAGCTAGGGATTTCACAAGGACTATTGAAGAGGTTAGAAATACTTTTGGAGTGCCCCAGGGTTCTCTCCTCAGGTCCTTTGTCTTTTTTAATTTACATTAATGACTCGGCGATTGACATACAAAAATCTTCTCTTTAATTCATTCACATGATGATTCAAATCTTCAGAATGAAAAAAGACTTTAAAATATCAACAGTGTGTAAATGAGGAAATGCATTGAACATGACACTAAATCTTATTCTTAGTCTTTGCCTGTTTTTAGGACACAGATAAAAAGGTTACTCATTACATCTTGAACTTTGAACTTTATGTACAACCAGCAGAAGCATCTTGCCACATCTGCTTATACCTTTATTCCCTTTTCTTTCATTTTGTATTGTTTTTAGTAAGTAATAATATAATTTCTTTATTGGTTTAAAGGGGAACTACACCTATTTTCAAAATTTCTACACATTGTTTCTATGGTCCCAAGACAGTCCAAACACATTAGTAAACACAAACAACTCTACCAAATCCCAAACTTAGAGTGCTAAAACTAAAAAAATAAGGAAAGGAACATTCTTTGGGTCCACAATATCAGGCTCTGAGTCACTGTCTGCAGAGCAGCTCCAGACTTTATACTTGATGACATCACAAGTTTGAGACTAAAGCCTGATTTATGGTCCTGTGGCTTACCTACGACGTACCTACGTCGTTGCCATGACGCCGTCGTGAACCCTCGAACTTCTCCGCCACTCCATTTCGTCGCAGTGCAATTCACCGCCAGAGCGGTAGGAGGCTGCGTTCCTTTCCTGAATGGTTATCGTCGTCTCTAGTTGATTCTTTGTTTAGCTTCCGGCTTTTCCGGTCACAGAGAAATGAACGCGGAGCACGGACAGACGGCTCCATCCGTATCGGTCCGTATCCGTATTGAACGTTGAGCATAAATAGGCCTTAATACTGCAACATCTACATCGCAACAGAAGATGTTTAAAGATGGCGGGGATGGCGCAATCTGGAAATACGGAACCAGAAATGCGTTGTTACCAAGCAAACCAATCACAGCCCTCTCGGTCTGCACTGGGTCTGCGTCACCTCGACGTGTAGTTACATTTTTGGGGAGGTGCACATCAGGCTACGCCGGGGGCTACGGCGAGCCTTCTGCGTAGCCACGTACCCTAAGACGTAGTGACATCGTTGATTTAACGCAGGACCATAAATCGGGCTTAAGGCTACTTCTCTGGTTTCTGGCTTTGAGAGACAGTTGCTCAAGTTCATAAATATTGATTGAACTTTCCTAGACCATGGAAATAACATATTGGAATTCTTAAAGAAGGTGTTTTTCCCCTTTAAATAGTGCTCTAATAGTAATCTTTTGAATAACTAAACTAAACTAAACTTAAAACATTTGGCATGACATTAAAAGATGTCTTACCTACAAAGTAAATGATCCATCGCCTGACTCTGGTCAGGAGGTGCTCCAACACAGGGGGTCCATTAGAAGCCATTTTCAGCAGGTATGTTTGGCTGTAGTTTTCCTCTTTAGGTTTTTCTTCAGCTCAGTTCTCAGTTTGTCTTCTAGAATTTTTTTCCAAGCAGTCAGGTATTCAAGATTTTAACTTTCCAGCACACAGGTTTAGAAAGTCAACTTCTGTCAATTTCAAGTGCAAATGAGGAGTTTAAAGGGTGTGCAACTCGAACGTCACCTGGATCAAACGTTCTGTTTCTATGACTTTTACTGGCGCACGTGCATGCGAACGAGATTATACAGTAAATGGATTGTTGGATTTATGTGTGCACAGATTAGTGATGTGAATCATCCTCTGTCGCCTCATCAGAAACTCCTGCAGCACCTGATGTGTCTTGCTATATAATGATGAGCATGCACAGCCAGGGTGCTGCAATTCACAACATCTTTAAGGCAAGAAGTTGTACTCAGCATGTGCAAATTATTGTCTGTATTTCCAAAAACAGAGAAAATGTTCAAACCGTTTAATTTAATCACAAAATATTAATATCCAGAAATAATTCAGTAGTCAAATAAACAAGTAGAATCAAAGTAACATTAAATTGTATCTGACAGGATTACCAAATAACACAGATCCAATAGTCAGCTGCTGTTCTGCAGTAATTGCAATAAACAGTTATCTGATCATTGGATAAAAAGTGCTTTGTACAGTTGGCAGCAGCGCCCTACATTCATATTTGGACATGTCCATTTCCTCTATCTTATATCTGCCTGTTCGTGTGTGTCTCTCTCACCTGGTGTGAGGTGCATTTTGCATTTTATTTGGAAAATAGAATTCCTTCAGTCTTTATTGTTCACAAGGTTTTTTTTACCAGGTGCCAAATTATCCCCTGAGGTACAAACAGACCTACTGATTTAAACCAGTAAAAACACAGTTTTTCCGACACTGCTTGTTATGGAAGGGCTGCTAACTATGGTGGTCACAAAAACGCAAATGGCCCTATCTAGAGCCTGTGTGTATTTTGTCCATTCTGGGCTACTGTGGAAACATGGCAGTTCAACATGGCGGACTCCGTAGACTAGGACCTGCTCCCTATGTAGACATAAACACCTCTTTCTAAAGTAACAAAGACATGATTCTTATTTTTAGCTGATTATACACTAAAATAAACATACTTATTATATTATATGCCAATATATTATGCCAATATATCCTCCTGAATCCCACACACTGGACCTTTGAAGATGATGTTTACTGATGAACAGACGACTCCAGAGATACAAGTGCACACAGTTTTAAAAAAGGCATAGTGTGTTTTAAAATGATGACCCTGTTGACACATATACATGTTTTTCTGTCATGCTAGCTACATAAGTACATTATCAGGGTTTAAAAAACAACAACTAATTAACAAGAAAATCAAATTAACCAAAAGTTTTAATGGTGGCAAACAAAAAAGTCCAGCTTTGAGAGCAGTGAAGCCACCAGTCCACAAACTGAGTGGTAAATGAGCTTTGACAGCAGTGGTATCAGCCTTCACATCTTTGGGGACAACATACAACTCACCATTGAATCAGAGGGGGGGCAGTGATGGAGGAAATTGATATCTGACTGAGCAGTCTGTTGAACATAGCATAAGTGGAAGATCAAATATCAAAGTTCCTGCAGCAGACATATAGATGGCTTCTATGTCTGCATCTTTCAGCCCACACCTCATCTATTCAGAGAAACAACTGTTAGGGAATGTAAAACCCCTTCACACAGACATAGAGGGACATCAATGGGTCCACAACTAATGATTATTTTCAATACATATTTATCTTTTGATTTTTTTTTTCTGAATAATTGATTGTTTACTTAAGGGGTTCTCAAAGTTTTGCCAGACAACCACTGGCTTTCTATAAGATGTCACTCCTAACCTGACAGATGGTTGTTAGGGGGGGTGCAGGTTGAAGCAGTGGCTGAGTAGCGTATGTATATCATGTCATGTTCAGGGGCCACACAAAATGCTTCTGGCCTATCACAGGCCTATGGGGTGCACTTTGAGCAGCTCTGGGAAACAGTGCCATAATACTGTGAGAAATATGCCATTAAGATCAAGGTATTCAATGTAACATAACATAATGCAGAGAATCTTTACATTTGAGAAGCTTGAATCAGCAAATTTGTACTTAAACGATTAACCTAATGAAAATGGTTGTTGATTGATTCTCTATTGATCAACAATAGACTTTTATTTTTCTGACAGCTAGGATAAATTTTACTGTATCTGAAAAAGAACAGATATACAGTAACTGGTACCCCCTCACTTTAACCTCCCCTATTTAGCATTTATAGGTGTTATGTATACATTTGCAGCTGTAGGTAGATATGTTAACTATACCTCTCTACCAACATCTTCCTCTCCCTTCTCTCTCCTACAGTACACACACACACACACACACACACACACACACACACATGCACACAACTCACCTCCTGATGCTTTCCTTATTGGTCAGATACACAGGATGTAGTTTTATACAGTCCATGTCAGCAACAGTCATGTTTACAACAACAAAGTCACTATATAAACTTAATATCTCACTGGAAACAAATTTAACATGTCAATAAAATAAATATTACTCCTGACATCACAATACTTGTGTAATAATTATGTAAGCATAAAGAACAGACATCAGTAAAGGACACTCGCTGTCCACAGGTCGGCTGCCTCGGGTACATTTTAAAATAAAGTGTTAGACTACATTCATACAGTTTTCATCTTAGTCTGTTTTTTACAGTTTGCTGTTAGCCCAGCGAGCTCAGTGTGCTTGTGTAAACCACGATTGTAAACCATAACAGCGGTGAATGAGAGACTGCGGACAGAGCAGATTAAAACATTGCTTTCTACATGCTGAACACATGTTAATAAAGCACTGGCTTTTTACTGGTGAGGGTTTTAATGCACTTACTTATAGTAACAAGCATAGTTGTCCTCAACTAGAGTAATATTGAAGTTATACTCCCCTCATCTGCACTGCGGCCTCTCTACTGTTGTCTGACTCACTCTGTCGTGTTTGTGTGTGTCTGCGTGTGTGTGTGGAGGTCAGCATGCAGAGAGCAGGAGCGAGGCTGCAGCACGACGATACCTGAAACCAAAACTTTAAAAAGTAACAATGAAAAAGCCGACAACAGCTGAGCTTATATATAGCACAGTCTTCATTAATTTACCCCCAGGCTGTTTGATACCGGGTCTCGGTACCAATCCCTGGCTGGGCCACTTGGATGTTGCTTCTGGGCCGCACGTGACCCACGGGTCGCCAATTTAATAGGCCCGCCTTAGGTTGTCTGGTTTCACAATATACCTTAGTGCTAGTTTAAAACTCACAGCTACAGCCTATTAAAGTCAGTTATGTCAGCCTCCAATTATTTTCACTCAGGGATGCCAGCTATTGTATCAGGGTGACCATGGTCCCCACTGGCCCCCCCTTGGGGTCACCACTGATGATAATAACATAGAGACAGTGCACAATAACAGACACTTAAAATATCCTTATAGTCACTTACAACTACATTACAGACCATTCATTAAATATTTTAGTTATTATAAACACTACATGGGGTGATAAAGTGTTACCAAATAAATAAATACTGCAACTATAAGAATTTCTTTTTATATGTTAGAGTCTTCAGCCTGAAATAATTGATTTTCATTTCATCCAATCAACTTTTATTTATCCAGGTTCTTCTGTTACCGAATCGTTAAGCCAATTAAACCTAAATGAATATGAAACGAAACGACTCCACATGCCAACTCCAACAAATGAGGTTCATTTTATTTATTATCATTTTACATTGGAAAAGCAACGGTCAGTTATCCCCCCCCCGACTGTACTTCCATTCACATATTGTAGCTCTTTATTCCTAGGTGATTAATGTTTATATTCTTACAAAACAAAAAGGATTTCAGACACAATCTGTACACTCCAAATCCAAATCACACCCCTCCCTTTAACCCATCTATGACAAATACGCTAACATGGGAGCCAAATTTTTTTAGTGCAGTGTTGAAAACCTGTTCGCACACACACATACAAAATGAACAATCAACGAGTCGCATGTACATCTGTAAGTGACATGCTTTACCAAGTGTCTGGACTCCTCACCTAAGACACAAGAGGACACATTAAGCAGGTGTGCATTGTAGGTAATACAAGGAAGGCAGGCGATTGAGGATAAAGGTGACACAGAGCACTTGGACTGCTGTGTCTCAGAAAACAAAGCCAGGAAATGGTTCAGTTCATAAAACCACTCTCCAGAACAAAATTTGCCAAAAGGGTGTGTAAAGGGGGGGGATTCAAGTTTTACACTCCAAGACGTCTCACGTGGAAGATTTTTTTTTTAGTGACAATGATGGTGTGCAGTGTTTTCATGGAAAATCTGGAAGGGCAACACTGAGGAGGACTCACTCAGGATCAGGAAAGAAAATAATAATAAAGTAATGGGGTTGAAATGTTCAGTCCCCCTCCCTGCCCAAAAAGATGTGACATAAAAAGGTCCCATATTGTCCACTTTTTTTTTTTTTTTTTAATAACGTTTGCCTTCAAATATCACCAGGACAAAAAAACATGTTTCACAATCAAATGTTTTAAATAAATATAGCTCCATTGATAGAATTTCTTCAAAAAAATAACCCTTAGAGCAAACTCTCACACAAGAAACTGAGCGCTAACCCCCTCCCCGACCCCGACGCACACATACCATAACCCTGCAGGTGCAAAAAATACAGTTGAGAAGACAGGTGACTGTTAAAAACCAGCAAACTAAGACTGACTGGAGGGATTTAAACCGGTGTGCCGAACTACAGGTCATAGTAGACTTTGGTAGAAACCATTTCTTACACTGTTTCCTTGTGATCATCGGAAAGGTTTGACTGATACTTTGTGTCTTGTGAACATTAAATAAATATTTTGTGATCACAAGAAAGCAGTTTCTTACATCATGACCGACGTCACAAGCTTTATTTCTGTGGGATCATGAGAAAAAGGCCTGTCAAAGTACCAACGCCAAGAACAGTTTTTTAGATAGTAACTGGAGAATTTTGAGGGCAAAAAAAAAAAAAAATCCAGTTACTTCAGGTAATTAAAACTTTGTACCTTGTCTTAAACAACAAAAATTATAGAAAAATAAAATAACACGGGTCAAGAAAGAAAATTCTAGAAAAAATTAAAGCCTTTTTTTGGCAGCTACTTTATTATAGAACAGTGAAAATATTTTAACCCACCAATTTTTGATTAAATATGAAATTTAAAACTGTGTAATATGGCCCCTTTAAGAAGAGAAAAGACATATATTAACCAGGCTCGTAACCCATGTCGACCATTTCAATGTCCTTCAGTACATATTGGCAGCACATACACATACATACACAAGCATACGCACTCATACACAACCCCACACTCTCAATACTGGTAGTGTGATTCAATCAGTGAAATCTATCTGATGTGTGTGGTGGTTGGCTGCGTGGGGAGTACGGCAGACAGGGAGGCGGCTAAGGTGTCGATGACCATGAAGACAGCAGCCGTGTGCACCAGAGAGGTCAGAGAGGGAGCAATACAGTGAAAAGGTCCATGTCCCATTTGTGCCGGCTGAACGACGGGTACTGCGGCCCCTGGGTCCCCCGTTTGCACAGACGTCACCAAACCCAGCGGCTGGGTGGAGGAACAAAAGTGGATGAAGACAACTGTTCATTTTGTGGTCCAAAGAAGCTTGTCCAGTTCATCAACAAGACAACTTTTTTCCCCCTCACATACAAAACCATAGCAGCAGGTAGAGCTCGAGGGTCTCCCTCCTCGAGAAAAATAATGAAAAACAAAAATAATACCTTTCCCCGCCATCCAGCAAGCAAGCTATGGAGAATTACCAGTTCTGGGAAGTGGCAGATGTCTTTTTGCTTTATTCCCCTTCCCCTCCTCCATCTTCTTACCCCCTGAATCCAAACCATCAAGCAACCAACATTGTCCTCTGTCGTTAGTCTCTTGTCAGCGATTTCCCCCATTTTGCACTTCAGCCCCAGTGTCCCCACCCACAAGTCTAACCCTATCCCCCCCCGTTCTCCCTCCTCCTCTGCCGGGCGAGGATGAGGGCAGATCATCGTTCGGGCTCCGACTCCAGGGCCAGCACCCGCTTGCGCTCGCGACACTGCTTCTTGTGGGCGGGCCAGTCCCTCTGCTGGCACTGGGAGCCACAGTAACGCGCCACCTGGCAGCGACCGCAGATGTTGAACTCCCGGAGCTGTGGGAGTACAAGGCACATCATGTTTGGCTCTGGGCCTGTCTAATGCTTTGGTAGAGTGATCCTATGTAGCAATTTTGCCCTACGAATCAATGTTGGTATAATGACACTTATTAAATTAAAAAAGTAACTTAACTACACATTGAATTGATAGTTTCATATGGATGTTACAGTACATACCCTCCTCTCAATGAGTGAACAAGGAGGATAATGACACTCATAGTAGGTGCAGGAGCACTCCTCTTCCTCCACCAGCTCCCCGTTAGCGTTGTAGTAGCGTGTGCGGCTCAGCTCCAGATACTGCTCCTCCACAGGGTCGGCTGGTACCTGCTGGATAGCCAGCCAATACAAAGACTGCTCTCTGGACAGTTTCGAGAATATACAAAGAATTATTAGACCCGTACTGCACATTTTACAACAAATATTTATGAATAAGCTGTAAGAAACATTATATATTGGGATTTTAAGATGAAAATACACCAAGCAGTGGCAAGTACAGCCTGTGGCTGCTTTGAGCTCAGTGAGCTCTGGTCTTTTGATTCTGCGGCTAAGTGCAGGCAAACTAAAAGTTGGGAATAGTTTAATTTGGGTGGCGGATTGCAGACAGAGAATACCTGTAACTTATTAGTGAAGCAAGTCCTGTGACATGGTGACCTATGGTATGAGGACTTTCTTCCCGGCTGAAACACATGAACATGCCTCCTGCATTTCACCACTGCTTAGTGTGTTCTCAGCATTAACTTTTATCTATAACTCTAAATACTGTTAAAGGGTCAGCTAACCAAGAATACAAAATTACATTTTTTTAAACTCATTTCAAACTAAACTTCAGTCAGTCAGTCAGTCAGTCTAACATATGCAAATTTCAAACGCCGGTCAAATTCCCGGTGTGTCGCATGATTTACATTGTATAACTTCAGCAGCGCGCGCACACGCACGTGTGCAACTCACGGACTGGGCGATGTGAGGAAGGGGACCTCAGGGACACAGTGGTTTGGGTAGGACAACTAAATGATTTCGGCCAGAGAATCAGGTTCGAGAGAAAACTTTAAATTCCAATGCAGGAGGTTCACAACAAGTGTGTATGTGTGTGGTTCTGAACTAAACAAAAGGAAAAATAGCTTTACACTCAATTCTTACAAATATGGCTTCTCACCTTAATCATTCATGCACACACATCAAAAGAGAGAAGGAGAAAGTTGTTAATTGTCCGTGTTAAATTTAACTGCAGAGCTCTCACTGCTGCACGGTGCTGCTTGTAACTGATGAGGCACAAGTCCGCGTGCCGAAGATGCGAATGTCCGCGCGCTTACTGGCGGGCGCGTCCTCAGCGCTAAGGGCTTTCGTCCAGGCGACCAACACCATGTCGGCCGTATGGAATTTTTGTTTATTCAAGAAATTATCCACAAATGCTATACACCAAGAATTATTGTTTTATTCATCTATGTTTTTAATTATGTATGCCTTTTTTACTTATTTATTTTAATACTGTACCTGAAGTTATATTTGAGCAAAAAGGAAAATGTTTCTTAACCTGTGTCACTTTTTTGTGTGTTTGTTTGTTTGAGATCATTATTGAAAAGCTGGTTGTATCTTGGTTAAAATGTTCTAATGAAAAAAGAAAGATATAAAACATTGCAATATCTTGTGTGCTGTAAAGTGGTTTGAAAAAAATGAAATCGGAATCGGCCAAAATCAGAAGTGGCCGTCCAAACACTGCAAATCGGAAATCGGGATGGGCCCAAAAAATTGTAATCGGTGCAAGTCTATTTCAAACAAAACAAAAGACACTTCATGTAAGCAGAGGCCAGTGTGATGCTAATGCAATGATAATGTTGTGTGACCCACAGTAAAAACTTTTGTTTCCCAAAAATATCAGGATACTGAGGAGAAAAAAAAAAACAAGTTCATGTCCTTTTTTCTGAGCAATTACTTATATTTATTTAGGTTTTCCTGGGAGAAAAAAAAAGTTGTTATTGTCAGGTCCAGGCGAAGCAAGGTCCCCAGTCAATAAGACTAAAAGTAACTAAATAAGGTTTTACCCACAGGTAAAACATCTGGCTCGTGCAGTATTGTACATTGCTACACAGCTACAGAATCATGATTTGAATTTAATTTTTCAGCCTTTAGCACTGGTATAGCTGCAATCCTACCTCTGTTTGCTGGAAATCTCCTCCGGCTTGGGGCTCCAGCCCACTGGCACCAGTCGCAGGTTGTCTAGTCGGTTGTCCACCGTCACAGAGTTGATGTGGATGACTTGAAAACTGGGAGCGATGCCTCCTCTGTGCTTCTCCCTGGGTCAAGAAACATATTCATACCATAGGTCAACCACTCTTTTAGCAGTTACAAAATAACAACAGCTCATTACTATGAAATCTACTCATGTAAATGTGCTAGCAAGACTGCTATTTGCATATTAGCCACTTCCTTGTTTATCTGAACACTCTAGTCATGTGCAAGAGGAGCATAAAAGGACACAAGCAGACCCCTAAGACTTCATCTGAGCCAAAAAAATTATCTGTAGCTCTCAATGGTTTTCAAACATGACTGTGGAGCTCTAGGGACAAGGCTCAGTTTGTATGCTGCTAAACATGGTATATTAAACTATACTATGCCAAATGAACATGGGAGATAAACAGCACTGGATCCTTGTGACGTAAAGCTTAACTGATAGCAGTAGGAACACTTTTTGAAGGACAGTGTCAGCTACTGAGCACCAGCCTGCACTGCTAAGAACACAAAACAGTATATCTTAGAATATAAAGCACTACGACAGATGCATGTGAAGGTTTCCACACTTTTACTTGTTGCTGTAAAGAGGCCTCCTCAACCTTCATGTTGCAAGTTTAACTTTTTTTTTTAAATCAGACTATTACACCAATTCTCATCTCTATTCAGAGGTCATGTTCAAAATTTTTAAGTTGATTATGATTAGAGGATCCCATCAAGGACACTTTCACAGTAAGAATGCTCGCCTACGCACAATCTTAACTCCAGATGCTCCAACAGAAAAAAAGCATTTATTCAACACCTGATATAATGAAGTACTCACCAGAGCAGCTCATGCAAAGGCCTCCCTGCCCAGCGGCCTTTGCCGATGTCGAAAGCGTAGGCAAAGATCTTAGCTCCATTGCCATCCGCATCTACCTCCATGCGCGCCTGGAAATGGGATAATGTAAAACAAAATGAACATTTGCACTGTCAGAAAAGTGGTAAGAGCAATATTGAAGCATCCGAATCCCAGAAGTTTACCTCAAACGCATAGTTTTCCACAAGTGGTATGTCCTGCTCATCAATCAGTGTGTATTTTGTCTGAAATGAGAGAATGGAGAATAGTTTCATGTTGGCAACCACAACTCTTACAGGAGCTATCTTCGTGGCATGCTTTAACACAATGACAACTTGTTAAAACCTACATTTTAGGACATTTACAAAAAAATGGCAATGTGGAGGAGGGCCTTATAAGCTGTTTGAGTAGTCTTAAACTTTTTTACTGCAATAATTACATAATAAATAAGCAAAATAACCAGTAAATGTTTACAGACTGCAACCAGTGATCATTTTTAAAATGATCTGATAAGCCAGTGCTTCTCTACTGCAGAGCCACCACCTATTATTTAGTTACAAGACAGCATGGCAATTTATTGACTAACCACCTCAAACCAGAAAAATTAATCAGTTCCAAATGTGGCTTTAGTTCATATTTATGCACAATTTAACTGGCTTGAACAAACTTGCACAGTCAAACAACAAAACGTGTTTGCAGAGGCCACAACAGTCAAATATGATAAGCAGTTAAAGGTATGTTCAACCTCCTGTTTGGAGATGGGCTCTCCACGTGACAGCTGCAACACTGACATAAACACCATCGTAAACATTCACGTCATCAAGAGGAAAATAAGCATAACAAGCTGCTTTTGAGCAAAATAAACTTTTTGTTTAATCTGATTTTTAAATATCAACCACATCTGGACAAGAGGTGCAACATAGTTATGCTACTGAACACCAGAGTCTCGTGTCGACCATTTAAGATACCTGAGCTCTGTCAGTAGGTGGGACTTGCAGCTGCATGTGACAAGATAACAACACAGTAACCCCATGCTACACTGAGCATGGTACCACACAGCACAGGGTGGTGGTGTCCACATACCAAAAGGTCGAAATATGCAATGTGACACTTTGTCACCACTGCCAGACTATTGTGTGGATCTTAACAGGAATGACATCATGTAAATAAGTTGTGTGGCTGCTGGCTGGTGCCCAGGAGGACTGTCACCCCGCAGGGGGTCAACTGAGTCCTTACAGCTCAACCAAGACCGTTTATCCTGAGTGGGAATGTCTTGTGACACGAGCAGCCCAGGAGCATTTCTTGACCACCATACAGCCATACTTTAAAAGTCCCACCAGAGTGGAGCGATAATTATGTAACTTAAACCAAGAAACCTTACAAGTTTACAGCAGATAAAGAGTAGTTTGCTGTCCTGCCGGTGCGTTGTCACGTTGCACAAAAGAATCAGTTGATGGAGCATGGCAATGGCTTCCTCATTAGCAGACACTTCACCGTGTAATCCAAATAACACAGCTAGCGTGGCACTGCCGACTCCACCACCGACTGTTAAAATAATACGGCCAACCGTCGAAAATAAAAACAAACCGCCACCTCCGTTTCAACCCGACACCGGTAACGACAAAATAACGACCTTTGTTTTACCTTTGTGCCAATATTCAACCGTTAAACGTCAGCAAACAGCTAGCTAACGTAACCTGCTACGTGCTAGTTAGCGTTAGCTTCATAGCGAGACTGTGTGGTGGCGGCGGAGGTACAGCAAACCAGTCTGGCTCGGCCGGCTTTTCTAATCCCTTCAAATGCGGCTAAAATCAGTAAAGCTGTGTTGCTCCTACATCGGCAACGGGTTGATAACCGTTAAAGTGGTTGACTAACACCGACGCATCACCGAGAACTCGTTTTTCCATCGTCTTTTGTGATCCCCGCGGGCCCTCCCCCGGCCGCACATGGCAGTCCTGGGATCCAGCTCACCTTCCCGGCCACACGGCCGAGCCGTACGATCCCGAGCTTGAAATCCGACATCAGGAGGACGGGCGGTGGTGACAGACGGAGGCGTAGGATCCAACCTAAGCGGTATTCAGGTTTACAACTCGCCGGGGCAGCCCCTCAGCCCCGCTGCGGTGCCAGTTTGGGTGAACTGGTTGGGTGTTTGCCCTGACTCCGGGTCTCTCCGGCAGCAGCCCAGCCTCGGTGACACACCGCTGCTGGCGCAGGAAAGCCGAGCGAGCTGTCGGGGGCGGGACGGGCCGAGCCACTAATCAGACCGACCAATCAAACGCCACGTTACAGTTTTTAGAATACGAAGCGTTCGATCATGTTGTCCAATAGGAAGCGAGTACTTTTAACGACCGCCTGTTTCAGTTATTACGTCACCGCACTCTCGTGACCACTTCCAGCCATTTTCGCGCGAAATGTTTGATGGCTGGGTGGGACTACATGGAGGGAATATTATCTTTTACCATGTTTGCAGGAAGAGAATTTACAAGAATTTGCTTCGGTGTATTGGTGCATAACATGAACATAGAAGAATTTTTAATTAAAAATAAAGGCAAACATTGGAAAAACCAAGAAAACCAAATATAGAATCGGATAAAATAATAATAAATAAATAAAAATATTACCCAAACTTTGGTGTCAGTAGCCTATTATTGGAGTCAATGGGGTGGGCACTGCAAATGAAACTTTAACCCATCATAGCTTTGTTGTTTCAACTTGACACAAACCTGAAAACCCTTCACTAGATTAAAATATGCACATTACCTGATGTTTGCTGATTTTGTTTTAAAAAATCTTAATATGTGTGCTTGTTTTCCTTGTTATTGGTTTCCAAACAGATCATGGCTCTGTCCAGCAGAGGTTGAGATGCGCCATGTCTGGCTCCTCAAACGCTGTCATGACTGTTCCTTCCTTTATATTTTTCTTGGCTGCAGCCAGGAAGAGGCTATTCTTGTGACATGAAGTTTTGGTCCTAATGGCCTCCTGCCAGACGGAAGTGTTTCAAAGAATTTGTATCCTGCCTTGAATACATGGGAGGGGTCAACCACAGTCTTTCCTGCCCGCCTCTGGATCCTGGAGATGTTCAGGTCCTGGAGGGATGGATGATTGCAGCCATTCATCCTCTCCCTAGAGCTAAAAATGTGCTGCAGTCTGCCCTTATCCATGGCTGTGGCAGCAGATGGTGGTGGAGAAGCTGAGGATGGACTTGATAGCCATGAAAAAGTGCACCCCATTGTCTTCTGCAAGTTGAACTTCTTCAGCTTCTGCAGGAAGTACATCCTCTGCTGTGCTTTTTTGTTAAGGACCCTGATGTTCAGCTCCCACCTGAAGTCCTGGAGCCAAGGAAGCAGAAGTGTCTACCAAAGAGTCACACAGGGTGATGGATGCAGGTGGAGCTGCATTGTTCAGGTAATCCACAACCATCTCCAAAGCCTTGAGCACCACTTTGCTCTGTCCACACCAGGTCACCATGGTCAGTCTCCCACCTGTAGGCAGACTCATCCCCACCAGAGATGAGTTCAGTGAGGGTGGTGTCTCAATATGGCGTTGCTACTCAGCCTTCCCAAAAAGACTCAATGAATTGTACATTTTTAATCCATAAAATTTTAGAAGAGAAAAACTTTTCCAGACCCCATAAAAGTTATTTTTATTTGTGTGATGTCATCCCAGTGGGGGAACACTAATGAGCATCTGCAGTTGGTTACCTACACCTGTATCCAGTCTCCATTCATCCATGCCTTCTACTCATCTGTTCAGTGGTATTTGTCATCAAAGACGTGCTGCAAAATTAGGCTTGATGATACAGAACCATTGAGTATTGTATGGATGAAATAGTATGATGATCATGCACTTACAGGCTACTGCAGGAGCACAAGGAAAGGAAGAGATAATGACAAAAAATGATATATCAAGAAAGGTGTGCTGCTATCACTTACACTGTTCAGAGCAATGAGCTGTGTACTCAGTGGTGTACCCGTCCAAACACATCTGTCTAGTTACGGATGACTTTCAGTTCAGTTAGTAAAGTGAGTGAGCACCATCTGGAGATCAGGACCTGTATTACAGAAGAGTTTTAGAAGAACAATTTTGAATTTGGAAACATATGAAGATTTGAGATATCCTCAGTTATGACCTAAAATAGTAAGTTTCTGAAATACAGTCACATTATATCCATTGTTTGTTGAGTTGTTCAAGTTCCTCAGATTATGAATGTGTTGTTCTTGCTGTCAGGTTCAAACCTTATCAATTTTTGGTTTTCAGACTTTAAAGAAACATGGTTTTCCCTTTAACAATATTTTGATTTATTGGTAAAGTTATGATGATAGACAGCTTCCCAAGAAATCTTAATCCAGTCTTATATGGGAAAGAATGAGAAATGTCACAGACCAGCACCCATTTTCTTTAGTTAATGAATTTAAGTCCATTGAAAGGGTAACCAGAGAAGAGAGAATTTGCTTTTATTTTTGTGGTATTCATTTTTCAAAACTCAACAGGGTGTGTTAAGAGAGAAAGACTGGTGTAATTCTCTTTTTAGTAAAGGCTTGCAGTATTAAATATTTCTATTTCATTATTATTCACTTTAATACAGTATGCATTCATGTATCAAGCTCTTTCACAACAAACCTTTGTTCGTTTTATGATGTGAACACATGCATTTCTTGTGTTTACAAGTTTTTCCCCATTACAAAACAGCTTTTTATGTTGCAAACAATAGCAGCCCTGTGCCTCTGCTGTTCCCATTTTCAATGTGAAATGTGTGGAAACGCACCTTGTCTGAGCCAGAAGGCACGACTCTCTTCTGTCAATCACTCCTATCCAGTTACGCACAGACATGGAGCTGATGGGAGGAGTGGGAGGTGTGTCGTTCCTTGTGCGGGTTTGAATTTCTTGAGATTTGATCTGTTTCCTCCCAGAACCTTTAACAAAAAGTCTTTCATTTAAACTCACATAAACAGTGATGGGATAGAAATGGATACAAAGAGGATACAAACACATGCAAAGCCTTTTACCTCCCTTGAATTTCAGCCTCAAGTCCTAATTTTCCTCTTAAAAAGTTGACAAGAAGTTAACTGGAAACGATTATTATTGGAACCCAGTGGTGAGAACTAAGCACATGGGTAGAGAGGAGTACAAATATACTAACATTTACAGTTTAAACACTATGTAACACTGGAAAATTAAATGAACATAAATGGAAATTTTCTTCCAATAATATAAATATATCAAGTCAGAACAAGAATTAAAATACGGCACAGTAAATTAATTTCTTTTTCCAGTTCCACAAAATATAAAACACAGAATGTCTGTAGATTCTCATTTTATATGGCATCATCACACTGCACACAACAGTTCTGTTAATTTACCATTATCAGTAGGTTATTTTAGTACATTTTATGGTTGCACCTTGGTGTTGCTTTAGAAATGAAAACATAATTCTTGTGATGCTGGTTGCAGCCGACCTAACTGACTGCACAGTCAGTTCAGTGGAATGGGCCTGGCCACTTAGAAATAAGGGCAGACTGTATTTCAAAAAGTACATTTGACGTTTCCAGGGCTTTCCTAGACAGTGGGTGTTGTTCACTATTTCTAAACAGAGTCGTCTCTGAGGTGTGGCTGCACCACTCATCCCTGGGCACACACACATATGATGAAACTGTGTGTCTATCACACCTATCCACCCTGGAAAATCTGATTATATTTGATTATAATTGTCCACAGTTTTCTCACTATGGTAACTTGTAAACAAAAGGAAAATTCCAAATGAAAGAAAAAAACAGGATAGTTTTTCAATATGAGAAAAGTATTAAAAAATGTGTCAAAAAGAGGGAAATCTACAGTACATAAGTGAAAAGTCCTCATTGAGAAAAGATAGTTCCTTGTCACAGTATGGGTATGACAATTTAATGTTTTAGTAGAATGTTATCATAATAAATATCAGGTAATCATATTACAAAATCTTGTTGTCTAAAGGGATGACTTCCAGAAAATTAACTAATCAAGCATGAATTCACATTAGCTGGGACCTCCAGGCCAAAATTCAGCCTCATATTTTGCAAAAACTGTGGCCACCAAAGGATGGAAAACATTTTGTGGACCAACAAAGCCAGCTATTGAGCTGCTGGTTGTGGCTAAAAAATAATTAATATGATTAGAATTAAAGCTTAGTCTGAGTTTAGTCTAATGCGAGGTAACATTGAAGCACATTTAATCACATTGAAAATCAAGTTGCTTATTTTCAATGTGGTTTTGTATACTGGTGCCATATAGTGATATATATAGCCCTATAGCTTAGATAGATCGACATCAGAAAAATATTGTTATTAGTGTCATGTGAGAAATCTGCATTTGCAAATCTGCATTTACTTTGAATTGATTTAAAATCAAATTATAGACCTGAATGCAAGTTAAAATCATGTCATTTAAACTTTTCAGTTTATGTATGTCTCTTCCATGGATGGATTACTGAATGTGACACAGGGTCCTCACTGACCTAAACCTGCACAATGTCACTCAAATGAGCAAGTACCAACCAGGAAGAGATTCAAAATGACCACAGAGACATGCAAAGGAACTGCAAAAAGACACAAAATAACTACAAAAAGGTGCAAAACAACCACAGAGGGACACAAAATAACCACAAAGAGACACAAAACTACAAATAGATGCATGGAGACTACAAAGAGATACAGCTACCTTTAATATCAAAAGATATAACAGGAAGCTGGACATCTGGAGCCACAATACATACAGTACAGGCCAAAAGTTTGGACACACCTTCTCATTCAATGGGTTTTCTTTATTTTCATGACTATTTACATTGTAGATTCTCACTGAAGGCATCAAAACTATGAATGAACACATGTGGAGTTATGTACTTAACAAAAAAAGGTGAAATAACTGAAAACATGTTTTATATTCTAGTTTCTTCAAAATAGCCACCCTTTGCTCTGATTACTGCTTTGCACACTCTTGGCATTCTCTCCATGAGCTTCAAGAGGTAGTCACCTGAAATGGTTTTCCAACAGTCTTGAAGGAGTTCCCAGAGGTGTTTAGCACTTGTTGGCCCCTTTGCCTTCACTCTGCGGTCCAGCTCACCCCAAACCATCTCGATTGGGTTCAGGTCCGGTGACTGTGGAGGCCAGGTCATCTGCCGCAGCACTCCATCACTCTCCTTCTTGGTCAAATAGCCCTTACACAGCCTGGAGGTGTGTTTGGGATCATTGTCCTGTTGAAA